AAACTTGCAGTAAAAAAATAATGCCATCCACTGACCAGAGATTTTCCTGACTGAAAGAAAACAGATGGGGTTGAATTGACTAAGAAACAAGGTGGGAGAAGGCCACAGCCCCCAAAACACTGAGGGATGCAGCAGAGCTAGGGGCTACCATGGAGTTGGCTCCACGCAGAGACAGACAGAAAAGCAGAGGTTCCAAGCAGCAGCCAGCCATCAGCCTAGACAAGCTGAGCCCTGTTCCTTCCCTAGAGCAGGAAGTGTAGATACTGACGGCAGGACAGCAGGTCAGCACCCAACACAGCTGATGACTCCAGAAGTGACAACCCCAGCCAGTTCCCTGGTTCTCCCACAGCCTCCCTGATGCTGGCTTCTGTGACAGGAACCCTGAGTCAACAATGGACAAACTACAGGTGTCACACCAAGATGAGCTGAGCCCCAATCAAAACAGGCCACATGTTTAAGGGAAATAGACCCTGTGGAGGAGGCATTAGATCTATCAGAGCCAATGTCCAGGAACAAATGAAAATATTAAAATATGTATGCTTGATGATTCATTCAACTTAGGCACTTAAGAAATATTTATTTAACACTTCTATATAATGGAACCAAAGATAAAGTTAAGAGAGGAAATTTTGTTATAGATGAAATTAGAACCAAAACTAGAAAAACTTACAGTCATCTAAATTATTGGTACATACACAAAGATGAAAATATGAACCTAAAGTTCTAGACTGTCTCATCATTACATAGAGAAGTAAAGTAGAACTGTATGAAGAATAAGAAATACTATTAGCTGAGGCTTTGATCTGAAGATGTAAATTTTAAACATTTTTATCATTTTTATTACCATGTATTAGTTGTACAGGGGGTTCACTGTGACATTTCCTGTAAGCTCGCAGTGTACCTTAGTTACATTCACCTCCATCATTCTCCCTCATCCCATTCCCCCATGTCTTAAAACAATTTCAGCAGGTTTCATTTTTCTATTTTCATACAAGGATACAAAGTACATCCACCATATTCACCCTCTCTGTTCACCCTCCCCGCTTCTACTAGTACCCGCCCTCAAACAGGACCTGTTTTGCATTCCTGTCCTTCATTTGTGTTCAAAGGGGTTTCACTATGGTACCTCACACATGAATGTGTTGTACTTCAATCAGAATAATCCCCTCTGTTACTCTCTCGTGAAGATGTAAACTTAAAATATATTCAGGACTAGGGTGTGTCAAGTGACAGAGCCCTTGCCTAGCATGCTCCAGGCCCTGGATTTGATCCCCAGTATCACCAAAAAAAAAAAAGTATATTGAAACTGTAACGCTATAACAAGATATCAATATGGTAACACACACTGAAAAGACAGCACATTAGATACTTTATATAGTTGTAAAATTTGTTGTAAGAAATTTTATGGATGTCTCGAGTTTTACTGTTACATTTTCAGATTTCCTCACTGAATTATTTTATAGTTTTCTTTGTGAGGTTATTCAGGTGTACATTTGAATATGTAAAAAAAAAGAGGGAGGGAAATGCAAACCAGGTACTATGAAAAACTTGAAGTGATACATTTTTGATCATTTATTTATTCTCATTTCTCTCTTGGTAGTACCGGGAATCGCCTAGCAAGCGCTCTACCACAGGCTATGCTCCCTCATCCCTATTCTCATTTCTTAAATGATGGTTTGGCTCCTCCACAAGTCCTTTGGAGCTTTACCTTGCCTTTTTAACTCTGCTTATTTTTGAGGCTCCTAAGAAGCAGCCGGTGAAGAGGTTGATGTTTCATTTGTTTCATGTGATATTATTTATTTATTTGTTTATTTTTGTGGTGCTGAGTATCAAACCCCAGACATCACACATGCTGGGCAGGTACTCCACTACTAAGCAATATCTCCAGCCCAGGAGACATTCTATAAATGGGAATCGAATGGATAAATGGAAATGGATAAAATAATACTTTTAAAACTGAAACATTTTTCCCATTTAATATTAATGTTGAAAATGGCTCACAAAATATTATGGTTTTGAAAATGCCCAACAGGTATCTTAATGATCTAGTTTCAACCATGATCACTTGTTTGGTGTGGATTTGTGTTAGAAAGTCTTCAGAAGCCATGTAAACAGTTTTATAACCTTGATAGTCTCTAAAGACCTCAAACTGGGGCTGGCGGAGTGGCTCAAGAAGTAGAGTGTCTGTCTAGCAAGTGTAAATCCCTGAGTTCAAGTCCCAGTACCATAAAAAAATATATATATAAAACTTAAGGAATGTGTCCTGTCTTTCCCACATAGAACTATGAGTACATAGTGGCTATTTTACACTGGAGAATATTCAAAGTCAAGTATATATTCCCCCTAGGATAAGATTTGCTTATCACACTGAATTTAGTATGAAATTTAAAATTGCCATGCTATAAAATTTCCCATTTGTCCTTTATCCTTTGGTGTGGTTCTAAAGGAATATGGGGGAGATGAAAGAAAGGTAAATTATCCCCCATCCTTACAATCCAAAATTTTATTACTAAGTATTTACTGGAAGAAATATAAATGGCCAGTACATATATTAGAAAACATTTGCCCTCACCACTAACAAAAGGAAATGCAGATCTAAAAACCAGTGTTGCTATGAGGCTGAGAATGTGTTTGTTGATAATATTCTGATGTGCTACGTAGACAAAGAAAATGTGATTCTTCTGAATTGGTGGCAGCGGTTCTCAGATTCAACTGAACAGTCAGTTTGTCACAATGCCCCAAGCCACATCAGGTGGCAGCCGCTCAGAAGGATGGGGTACCCTGGTAACATGGGTGCTAACTGGACAGTGTCAGGGATCTGCTCCCCAGAGGGAGAATGCACAACTCTCTGCTTGGTTGTCCACACAGCTGTCTAAACGCTGTCTCACTGGGTGACAATGTGAGCACTATGGAATGGCAATCATATTGGTGGCCAAGAGACAGCATAACCCCCTTTCCCCAGGAGCCACTGCCTATTCTAACCCCCCACTACAGAGCTTCCCAGTTCCCTGCAGAGGATACATCAATCATAAGGATCACAGAATTCAGGAAGGGATGCCCAAGACATGGTGCCTGATGGGTATTTATTGATTCCTTCAGGCCAAGATATAGCTTCTTAATCGAGTGATTTTTCTCCTGGCAGCAAAGCTGGGTGACACAGTTGACAATGTACACTTATCAAGCTCCTAGGGGAACAGAGCTAGAAAGTTAAAAGTTCAAATTTGCATGCAAAAAGAAAAAGGGTTTTTTAACCCTTTACTCACAAAGAATAAATTAGTGTTGTCGCTGTTTAAGATTGTGTTGTGGCAAAATACATTGAAAGCTTTTGTGTGCGTGCATCTTTCCAAATATTTGTTTTTAAGGATTTATTGTAACAAGTATGCACAAATATGTTTATGTCTATGAAAACTAGGTTCCCCAAAGCCTTATTTTCTATAGTTAATAATTAATGACAATCTAAATGCTCAGAATTGTAAATTAATTATAGGATATTCATCTTCCAGAAAAATATGCAAGTTTATAGAATAGATAGGTCCAGAAAAAAACATTAAATGGATTTCTATAAGAATATTTAATATTTAACTCTGAGTGATGATTTTCTTTCAAGTTGAGTCACAATCCCAGCCCTGACATTCATTAATTTTTTTTTTTTTTGAGCCAGGATCTTATTTTGTCTAGGCTAGACTCAAACTCCTGGACTCAAGTAGTTCTCATGCTTCTGCCTCTTGGGTAGCTGAGATTATAGGTATACTCCACCACTCTCTGGGTGAAGATTTTCTATGTAATTTTTTTAAGCCATGACTCTCTCATTTTTAACTTTTATCATATATATTTTTTCTATTTTTTTTTCTATTTATTTATCTTAGCAGTACTGGGGTTTGAACTCAGGGTCTCACGCTTGCTAGGCAGGCACTCTAGCACTTGAGCCACTCTGCCAGCCCTTACTTTTCTAAATAATTAATTTTTTACAGAAAGTATGATCAAAGAAAGCCATTTCAATGCAAGGTATTTACACTGACTGATTACACATTTTAAGAGTTTGCTTTAGTACATGTATTACAGAGGCTTAAACTTCTTTAATGTGTTTTAATGGAGTTTTTTGTATTGTATAAACTGAGATCCATCTCATATTAACATCTGAAGTGGTCATCTTGAGATATTCAAACCAACAAAATCATTCTCACTTCCTTTTTCCATATATGGCATTGTGTATTTCTGACTTCTAACTAAAGTCTCATCCCTTATAAACCTAACAAAATTGCTAAGAAAAGAAATATCAGACTTATTGGTTGATTTCTAGAATTAATCTTGGCCTGGGAGAAGAAAGGATAAAATGCAACTGAAACTGGCTGTGACTCAGTGATTAAGCAGGAGAAGCATGTAACCAGGTCTCATTCATAGAATTGAATGCCAGCTCTCAGGTCCTTGTCGGTTATGCATAGGTTAATGGATGCCATCGTTATTGCTACGAGATTTATTCCTAAACATACACAGTTCATTCTCCATCTTCTACTTAGTAATATGCACATGTCACGGTGGATCTTTAACATCACCTCATCCACTGATGATCTTGCCACTGTTGGTTCAGAAAACATAAAACAAATACAGAGAGGAGAATTGAACAGCAAAATGCAATTCCAGCTGTACTTTTAACCAAATGAAAATCGTGTAAGGACCATCCATGGAAATATTAGTTGCATTTGCTACCTGCTTGCATTGACTGTTTCTTACCCTACTTACAAATGGATGAAGAGTGGTTGACTCTAGAGAAGCCTGTGTAGTACAGAAGACCAGCCTTTTGACTTAGACCGGAGTTCTGGTCCTGCCTCACCAAGGTCTGTTTCATCAGAATCGCATTTTCCTCATCCGAGAAGTGAATAGAGTAGACAAGACACCTCCCAGATCCTTCTCAGCTGAAAGAACTCTTAAGGCTTGGATAATTTATAGCTTTGAAATTTGTGATGATGAAGTTCCTGATAGTTTTGTGTTTTATCTTTCAGTTTATATCTGTTCAAATTAGGAATCGCACCCCAGATCCAGGATTTGCTGGGGAAAGTGGACTTCACAGGTACCACTCTTTATCTTTGTAATTCTCCCATAATTGGTGACTACAAAAGTCCGCAACACCATTATTCAGAAAGCAGCTGTCAGGAGGGTGGGGTTTGAGGACTAGCCCCAGCAAAAAGTTAGCAAGACCCCATCTCAACTAATAGTTGAATGTGGAGTGCTTCAGCTGTGCCCTGGAGAATCATGGTCCAGGGCAACCCTGGGAAAAAATGCAAGACACTATCCCCAAAATAACTAAAACAAAAAAGGGCTGGGGACATGGCTTAAGTGGGCTCAAGTGGGCTCAAGTGGTAGAGCACCTGCCTAGCAAGCCTAGGCCCTGAGTTCAAACCCCAGTATCACCACCAAAAAAAAAAAATCATTATTTTGATGTTATTGGTTCCTGTTGACAGAAAGAGAAAAGTTGCCATCTTGGTTGTCCTCTGGATTCCCTTTCTCTTTGCTTGTGCAACGAGAAGCTCAGGCTAGAGTCTTCCTTCAAACAGAGAAAGGTCTTCTTTCTCTATGTGAATGTACTCATTCCTGCCTCCCTCTACACCTATGGCTTCCTCTGATTTTTATTGTTGCTGTTGCCCTTGTTCTCTTAGAGGAGGAAATCAGTAATATGAGAAAAGAACTGGAGAAATACGGAATACAGATGCCATCTTTCAGCAAGATAGGTGGTATTCTGGCCAATGAGCTGTCTGTGGACGAAGCAGCATGTAAGTCCATTTAAAATTCAAACTTGTCACTGACATGCAACTCACTGGCACTTATTTGCTGATTTTGATGACATGAAATGGAATAATTAGAAGATACTTTAAGAATGCTGAAAGCTTTGGTTTGTATTATAGATAATTTGAGGATGTTGGAACATAACCATGTAATTGATTTCAGACTTCAGGCAATCACTTGTGCAATGAATTAAAAGATTTCAGAAATCTCTTCATTCTCCAAGTAGTCTACCTTCTGTGTCTTTAGATCTTAGTCATAGGCACGTTGCTGGGAGTCTTTGTATTGCCAGCTAAATGACAAGTATGTCTTGGAACCATTTGTTTCTTTAAAACTGTCCGTGGCCACAGTGCAGGGACTGGCTTACACCTCTAAAGCCCTAGTGGTTAGCAGTGCTTGGTTTATGTTAGCCATTTAGTGCAAGCTGAATAAATGAGTAAGGATTACCTAGTAGGTGCTACGATCAGCACTAAGGGTAAGCTTGTGGCAAGGTTTTCCTGGACTCCGTGATATGTATGAGGTCTCTCTTTATGGCATCCTTACTGGACGCCTAGGAAGACAGTAAAACTGCTTGTGTTTGTACAGTATCAGCACAACTACTCATGGTGTCTTTTGCTGATTAAAACATCGTTTTTTTCTCTCTTTACTTCTCAGTACATGCTGCAGTTATAGCCATCAATGAAGCTATTGAAAAAGGAGTAGCAGAGCAGACCATTGTAACGCTAAGAAACCCAAATGCAGTTTTAACTTTAGTGGATGACAACCTTGCACAGGAATATCAGAAAGAACTCTGGGAAGCCAAAAAGAAAAAAGAAGAAAATGCAAGGCTAAAGGTACCTGATTAGATTCTAAGTAATAAGTATGCTAGTTTGAAAAAACCTTGATGTAAAAAGTAGTATTTTAAAATCAACTGGCTGTGGTCTCTATAGCCTCAGGCCATGGATTTGGATAAGATGTAAGGGTAGAAGACCATACACTATATAAGACAGTTAGGTGGATTTTCTTTCAGGAGGTATATTGAAGGATTGATAGTCATGTAAACTTGACCACTTGGCCAGGAAGTGTAGAAGTAGCAGCTAGAGATCCTCTCTTGTTAGGCATTTTATCCAAGCAACCTTTATGTTCATGAGTAGAGGTTTATAATTTATTGTGGTCAAGTATAAAGCAGAGCATTTGAATCTACTGCCTCCATGTTTTCCCAGGAGTTAACCCTTCTTATTTAAGGGTGTCTCTCCTCGGCAAGACAGTCTGTTCCTGCTCCTGATCCATACTAAACTACTTCCTGGCTAGTGGGTTACTGCAAGCTTTGCCTACCCTAAGGCCTGCTACCCTAGCACCAACTTTTTTTTCATTGTGCTCTTGCTGATCAGTTTCAGCTCCCTTGTGGAAAGCAGCCACTTTAATTTGAACCTTTTCCTCACTTGGTGACTTCCACCAGCCCCCAGCATGAGGACCCCACCTGCTTTGAGCTTCTCTACTCCTAAGGCTTATGTGCATCTTGGTTGCCATGGTTGTCCTGGGCCATGGTCTCTCAGTGTCTCCTCTTCCTCCTCCCTGTACATCTGGGGACTCTTTTGGGTCTGACATTGATCTCTTTTCTGTTCTTCCTCCATTGAATTCATCCACTTGTTGAAGACATCACCTATCAGCTTCATACAAGCTCTTCTCAAATCAGCCTCCAGATTTTTGTCATCTGTGTCCCCCAGGTCTCACACCATGGCAGAAGAGTACTCATCTCCATCCTGACTCTTGGTTTGGAATGACTACTACCTGTCCATATCTTTTCATGTCCCCTCTGTCCTACTCAGAGTTATATTCTGCTGCCTTTTTTGGCCAACTTTACTCCATCACCTGCCTCCTTGTCTCACCAGGCCACCCTCAGTGCTGCCCCCTGCAGACCCTGTCACAGGACTCTTGTAGCACCTTCCTCTTGGGTCTCCTGATTCCTGTCATTCCCCAAGCCAGCCATGCTCAAAGCTTTAGGTTGCAACATTAATCTTTAATTCAGACCAAAAACCTTCTCTGATTTTCTACTGCCTCCTGAATTAAGTACAGGCACAAAGCTTGGCCTTTAGAGGCCTCCAAGGTACCCAACAGGTCTCCCCATTTTTTGGTACTCCGTGCAATGGCCTAACATGTCAAGTTTTATGACCAAATCCTGCTGTCTACGTCCATCCCTCATCCCCACCTTCATCATTTTTCTGTTCCTTGAGGCCCTTTCATTTTGTTACATCTTTAAGATTTCTTTCCAATTGAGTTGGAAGCACTTTCTCTTACAGAATCTATTCTGTTCTACGCATATTCATTATTTCTGTTCTTAATTTTATCAGATCAAATCAAATGAAATTACCAACGTACAACTTACCATTTATTAAAAGTGGCGGTATTACCTGAGCCAACCTAAGTTTTGGGACTTAGTCCTGTTCAAAGAGCCACTGGGTCTGTTGTTCATCATCACTGTTCTTGCTGGGCATTTCTCCCCTAGTTCCCTGCACAGAACAGGTGCTCCACAAGTGTTTGTATTGAGTTCAAATGGAAACGAGTGACTTGTTTTTATCACTGTTTGAATTTTTGCCTTTGTGTTTTGAGTTTGGAAAACATTTTATTGAAGCTAAGGAATCAATGAAGAATTTGTTTTGCAGAATAGCTGTATTTCAGAAGAAGAAAGAGATGCATATGAAGAGCTGCTAACTCAAGCAGAAATCCAGGGCAATATCAATACAGTCAACAGTAAGTATTGGATTGGATGAAGGAAATGGATCTTTTTATAAGGTACAAACTTTCTTGGCCAGAATCTCAGCAAAACTCCCAACTTGTAAACTGCCTTACTTAATGAGAAATCTGCTAAGTGTTGATGTTGCTATTAATTGTGGGGCAGCAGTCTGCCAGTTTCCCACTGAGTCATCATTGGTGGTCTGGCTCCCAGTCCATGCGAAGTAACTCAAAGTACCCTGAAGCTGGTTCAGTTCTCCCTTCTTGTTTCATGATAGGTACGATGCATTTTATTTTGAATCTGTCCCTTGGAGGACTGATATGGAAGGTTATTTAGTGAGAGATTCTGACTTAAAGATTAATTGCCTTGATCATACAATGACATTCTACTGAAACTGTACAATATATTATTGAACTTCTGCATGTTATTCCTTCCCAGTCATTAGTCTCAGTATCTCAATATCTAGCAGCTGATAACTGAATGAGTTTCAGACTTTACCTCACACACATAGCACAGCAGCAAGCAAGCTGGTATTTTTTTTCCCTTCAAGCAACACCTTGCAACTTTTGGGTTCATGTTTTGTGTTTCCATTCTAGTGAAATCTTAAAAGATGTTGGTGGTGATATATGAAGTCCAATTTCAGGTTTCTCTTTCTGTTCTATTTGAAAGCTGAGAATTTCATTATGCTTGACAGGAATGAATTATGGGAAGAAACTAATATTACCAGCAAGACAACATCTGAAGCCTATAAGCTTAGGGAGGAAATGATTCCATAGCCTTTTACCATCCTTTATTTTTGAAATGTTTATAACTACTAAAACAGTCTCCTTTCTCATATTAAATAAAATGACATAAATAAATATTTGAATACTCAATGACATAATTTCCTGACCACAGATCTAACACCAATTGGCTATATTTTATTTTCCATTTTTAAATAAAAGGCATTGGATGCTTTGCACTGGTGGCCTAACCAGCTGAAATTGATGTGGCTTTAAATGTACTATATGTGATTATTCTGAAGTTTTGATCTCTCCCTGTCTGAAAATTTATAGAACTTCAAGTAGTCCTGAAAAACCCTCTATAGTATTTTTTAATCAGTGACATGACCATAAGACAATCATGTACTTTAAAACCTGTAAGTAACTGCAGGTACTTTGACAAGCTCTTCCCCAACCATGTGGGTTATTTTATATTGAGGCAATTACATTTGTAGCAGCCACCGTACCAAGTGGCAGCTTTGACGGAAATGTCAATGGATCTGTCCTCAGAGGCTTCAGCTTTGTTTGAACTCTTGGGCTTGTCACGTGTATCCCATTCATTGCTTGATATATTCTGTGAAGATGGAGGTTGGGGATTTCATTACATGCAGAGTGTAAATGAGTGGTTAATCAGAAAGCATGTATTAAAAAGAACTGGTTTAGTAAGAGCATTTTAAGGATATGATTTTCTGGTAATATTTAACATCCAGTGGTACAAACCTACACAATGAAGTCCTCAGAGGCTCAGCAAAATCCTTCCCCGAGCAATTCCAGATGCAGCTGAAAGGCTTTGGATAGCTGTTGCAGAATAGTAAACACCAAATAGTCATCAACCTTCTTTCTGGAATTCTTTATCTGTCAAGTTCATTTTAAGGGTAGAAAAGGAGCCTTTGGGCCTGGAGGCTCCTTTATAGTAAATGCCAGGTTTTCCTGGGGGATGGCTCCAAGAGTTCCATTAGTCATTTTTCTGCTATTGAATGATGTCTCTTAGTAGAAAATCCAAGGGAAGCTCCTTGTGAAAGTATTTCGAGAAGATAAATTGCCATCGTGACAAGAAGGGTAAGAATAACCTTAGCTGCAGTCTAGTCATGTATTGAGCAGACAGACAGACTAGCCTTTGAAAGGCTTGGGAACTCTTTGGATCTGTGTTATTCCTGCTGCCCTGATCCCTTCTGTAGAGGGCAAACCCTGCTGGCCCTGTCTGGTTCATTCTTGCCTGGTGACAGAACTCATCACTCATTCCCCTGTTAAGTCAACAATTCACTTTCTGTGCTCTGACAATTCTGCTGAATCCTCTGCTCCAAGGCCCCATGGCATGGTCACTAAAGTTCTTTGCAACCTGAACATTTCAGCTGGTACAGAGATCACAAAGCCTGTGGAAGCTTTGTGACAATGAAAGCAGCAATGGACCAAGTGCTACTGTGGTCCACCTCCACCCATGCTGGTTCATTGGAGGGTACAGCAAGGCTTGCTTCTGGTCTTCATGTAGCTTAACAGCTCCTCAAAGAGGTGGCTCTGACCCACAAGGAGCAGCGGACAGCAAGCTGGCCCAACCACAGAGAGCGGTGGGGACTGGCAAGTCAGGAAATCCTCAGGCCCGTAGCAGTTAGCATCATGGAGGAGGTGGGATCATTGTGCTAGGCAGGAATGATTCCCAGATCAAGCTCTATTGATGCTGAGGTTCTTTTGGAGATTAACTACAGGGATCTGAGTGACTTGAATTACTGAACTGATCCAAAGCTTTGCCTGCCTCCACCTGCTGCTTTTCAGGAGGTGGACATGGTGGCGGGCAGGCTAGATAGGGCAGTCCCGGGAACTGACATTCTGAGATATACTGACAGATCACGACCCCACATCCCCAGGGCAGGCTGCGGTGGATCACATCAATGCTGTCATTCAGGAAGGTGACCCTGAAAATACGCTACTTGCACTGAAGAAACCAGAGGCCCAGCTACCTGCCGTCTATCCCTTTGCTGCTGCTATGTACCAGAATGAACTCCTCAACCTCCAGAAACAGAACGCCATGGTGAGACACAGTCATGTACAAGTTCATACCGTTTCAAGGTCTCCTTCCTCTTTAACTCTTGCTCTTAGTCTACAGGACGATCCAAAGGGCACAGTTAGGAAATGGAGAGAGTGGTCTACACAAATATACATAAAAACACGTTGTTCCAAGCCGGGCACAGTGGCTCATGCCTGGAATCCTAGCTACTCAGAGGTTAGGAGGATCTCAGTTTCGAGGTCAGCTCAGGAAAAAGCTTACACAATCTCATCTTGACCAATAAAAAGCTGAGCCTGGTGGTGTTCGCTTGTCATCCCCGCTACATGAGAAATGTACATAGGAGGATCTCAGCCCAGGTTGGCCCTGGCATAAATTTAAAAACAAATGCTTAAAATCAAAAAGAGCTGGGGGTGGAACTCAAGTGGTAGAGCATCTGCCTGGCAAGAACGGGCCCTGAGTTCAAACCCCAGTACTGCCAAAAAGAAAAACAACAGGTTATTCCTCTTCTCTGATTTTTAAAATAAACATAAATCTCTAAAGCCAGAATTTTGGAAAAACTAAATATAATATATAAATACATATGTTCTGTAGATGTGTTCTGTTTTTCAGCTGATTTCCTTCTTTCCTAGCTTTGGTGGTGTTCTTATGATTTCTTTCCTCCTTTCTACAGTCATGATTACCTAAGGGAATTTCAGTCAATGACAGACCACATACATGATGGTGGTCCCCTTAAGTAATATATCCTAGCAAAATTGTAACCATCTCAACTTGTGGGAGCATAGTCTGTGGTATTTGCAGAATGGCAAAATTGCCTAACAACACATTTCTTATAATGTATCCCCATCATTAAGCAATACATGACTTGTTATGAATTTTTTAGTGTGTGTGGTATATAGGCATTTATTTGAAACTATTTTCCTAATAAAATTTGAATAAACTTTTGAGTAACATTAACAAAGAATTTTGGATAATTTTTTTAACTGTACTAAAAAATTTTTTTTGGTTGTACTGGTGCTCAAACTCAGGGCCTCATATTTGTTAGGCAGGTACTCTACCACTTGAAGCATGTCCCCCAGCCCTTTTTGCTTTACTTGTTTGGGAATAGAGTGTTTCACATTTATGCCCAGGTAGCCTTAAACCACAATCTTCCTGTTTACACTTCTGCAAAGCTGGAATGACAAGCGTACAACACCATGCTTGACTTATTGGTTGAGATGGGGTCTCATTAACTTTGTCTGGGTTGGCCTCAAGCCAACACTCCTCTCACTTTCTGCCTATTAAGTAACTGAAATTACTGGCCTGAAATATTTTTAAATATTTAATTTTTTTTTGTTGTTCATGGTGCTGGGTGTTGAACTCAGGACCTTGTGCTTGCTAGGCAGGCACTCTACCACATGAGACACGCCCCCAGTCCTTTTGCTTCCACTTTGTCTTTCAGATAGGATCTCCCACTGACTTTCTCTGGGCTAGCTTGGGGCCGTAATCCTCCTACCTCCACCTCCTGAGTAGCTGGAATTACAGGTGTGTTGCCACCACACCCAGCTAAATATATAATGTTTTTGATATAGAAAAATAAGCTCTAAATCAACATTTCTAGAAATCTGGGACTAAGAACATTAATACCATGGCTGTGATTTTTGCGATTTATTTTTCCTAAGAAGATTACAAGTAAGAGCAAGTTTACTCGTACCCCTGTGAGCCAGACTGGAGCAGAATGAAAAGTACTAGAAGCAGAGCCAAGAATTCCATATATAAGAAAACTAGACTCTCAGAGGTGGGGAAAGGATTATTTAATGAATGGGATCCGTTATTCAGAAAATGTCAGTTCACTACTCATAGCATCTATCAGAATAAATTTCCACTATGAAAGGTTAAATGCTTGTGTAAGGCCCTGGGTTCCATCCCCACCACTACCAAAAAGGGGTATGGTGGGCTAACTAAAAAAATCCCTCAAAAAGTAAAGTTCTAAGGAAACAGAAGGTTATTGATTGAATCTGAAAAGTCAGAACCCACACCACTCATCCACCAAAAAAAAAAAAAAAAAAAAAGGAGAGAAGCCAAAAGCATGAGTAAGTAATTCACAAGACAAGGGCTCAGGAAGTTAATAAATGTACACTGCATGTTGACTACACAGTGGTTCCATTCTGCTCTTGAAAGTTTACTTCCTTTTGGGGTATATTTTCAGTTAATATAAGACATTTGGATAACATTTACTTACCTGTTCCCTATGAAAACCACTTCCTCCTCTTTGCCTTAAAAGGTAAAATTATGCTTTGTTGCACTGAAATCAGTTTGCTTCAAGATATCTGTGAAGATCCAGGAAGCTGCAGTAATGCATTCTAATATGAAATGGTGTTGTATTTATCATATGTGATATGCTAAAGGTAAAGAGGTATATCAGCATTTTTTTTTTTTTAGTAATTCTTTTCAGACTCCTTATGTGCCTTCAATATAATGAAAGAAATCCCTTTTGAAGTTGGGCCAGCATGGTGTAAAATGGCTAAATGGAAGAAAATATTGAAGGGCCATCCTATTCTGAAGTCTAAGATGTATTTTTTAATTTAATTTAATTTTTATTTTTTCGTGGTACTGGAGTTTGAACTCAGGGCTTCATGCTTGCTGGGCAGGTGTTTACCATTTGACCACTCCCCCAGCCCTTTTTGCTTTATGTGTTTTTCAAGTAGGGTCTTTCATTTATGCCTTGGCCAGCCCAGACCACAGTGATCGTCCTTTCTCCTTATGCTTCCCAAGGAGCTGGAATGACAGGTGTGTAACACCACACCCAGCTTTTATTGGTGGAGATGGGTCAACTTTAAAAAAAAAATTTACCTTAGATTTCTTCAAATATCTAAACCTAAGAGTACACATTAAAGTTTCTATCCAATTTATAAAAACATAACATAGACTCACTTTTCTGGAACTAGAATCAATTCTCTTGGCTTAAAGATTTTGATCTATTTTTCTGGGGCTTAACTTTCAGACAAAACTCTCCCCTCCTTTCTTTTACTCTTAATTCAAACTAGTCATTAAGTCTGCTAAAATCTTACCTGAAATGCTCACTTGGTTTTGTCTGATTCTTGGCATAATTATAAGGTTAGACGGGAGCCTGGAAAGCAGCCCATATAGCTAGGGAGTGGTTGCCTGGGGATGCAGGTATTTGTGAAACCCTGAGTGTAGTTTCTAAGTAGCACAGTCCCCAAAATGATACTCTAAGGAGATCCAGGAGCCACTGACCTGGCTTTCTTTAAAGCCGATGAAAAGTAGATAACTAATTACCCCTGCATCTGCTGGACTGTCAGACCTTTGTCTTTTCATTGTTCTTTGTCACATGTGTTCTCCACACTCATTACATACACGCCATGTGTGATTTGGGTTTTTTTGCTTGTTTTCTTTTTTTGTGGCACTGTGGCTTGATCTCAGAGCCTCACACTTGCTAGGCAGGCGCTCTTACTGCTTGAGCCACTCCACCAGCCTGATTGTTTGTGATTTGGGGAGCTTACCTGGCTGTATGTTTGCCCACAGAACTACTTGGCCCATGAGGAGCTCTGGATTGCAGTAGAAATGCTGTCTGCTGTTGCTTTGCTGAACCAAGCCTTGGAAAGCAACGATCTTACATCTGTGCAGAATCAACTCAGAAGCCCCACAATAGGTGTCAACAATCTGGATGAGGCATACGTGGAACGGTAAGGACCATGAAATTTCCAAACCCTCTGTCAGCGCAGAACTGTGTGCTTGGAAGATCTCACCAGTTCCTTAGTGGAAAAAAATCCATGTACCATGCTCATATTTCTTGAGATCTCATCTACTCTGGTTTAACTAGAGACCTTTTTTAAGTACAGTACAAAAAGAATATGAAAATAATCTTTTTTTAATTTTTGGCAGTACTGGGGTTGAACCCAGAGCTTCACACTTGCTAGGTAAAGTGCTCTAGAACTTGAACCAGATCTCCAGCCCTTTTTTTGCTTTAGGATTGTTGTTGGTTTTTTTGGGTTTTTTTTCAGGTAGGGTCTTATGTTTTTGCCCAGGGCCAGCCTCAAACCGTGACCCTCTTACCTCTGCCTCTCTAGCAGCTAGAATAACAGGTGCACACCACCTTACCCAGCTTATTGATTGAAATGAGGTCTGGCTAACTTTTTGCCCAAGTTGGCCTCAAACTGCAGTCTTCCTGATCTCTGCCTCTTAAGTAGCTGGGATTACAGACGTGAGCCACGATGCCAGGCCAGAAAATAACATCTGTGGCAACTAAGTGTGACTTTACTTCATCAGCAGCAAAAATTATCTAATAGGTTAAAAATAGAGGAACTGTTGAAAACATACTTTCCCTTGGACTCCTTTTGGAGATGACAGACTACAGAATAGTTGGAATGAACTTTAATAATCAACCAGTCAAATTCTTTTTGTTCAGTGATGAGTGAACTGAATCTGGAGTTGTGGACCCAAAGTTGGGCCCAGTGAACTCCAATCCCCACTTTTATGATTGCTAAACCAAGGAAATCCTGAGACCACCGTGGGTCACGGCAGTAGGCAACAACCTCAGTTTTGTATCTTTCACTTCAGATTCCTGAAATGTGCTACAGACAGTATAATTGACGGTACTGCCCCATAGTAGACCTAGAGAGAACATTAAGGGGAAAGAATTAGAAACCAGATTACAGAGTCACCAAGACACACATGCTAATCATGTGCTTTACTACTGAGCTATACCCTTCACCCCCAAATTAGAGTCAGTTAAGACAAAAGCAAGAGTTAAAATGAGTGAACCCGGGATTCTTGTGACCACCAGGGGGCGCTATCTGCACGGGTCTTGACAAAAGCTCTCAGCTACTGATTCTGGGTGGCCCTAATGAACAGGTTGGTAGTTTATTTTGGGTCACATACAGATGCACAGGAAAAAATAAAAGAGACTTCTTAAACTCTGAGTAAATGATGTTTGATCACTTTCCTATGGAGAAAATAGCCCAAAAGTAGTGAAAGAAAGTGGATTTTCCTTGTTCTTGGTCTTCCTGGAAAAACTAATGTCCTTGGTCTACTTCAGTTCAGCCATGTGGTTCATGTAACTCCCCAGAGTTGTGTCTAATTCCGCCTATAATGGTACCACCCTCTTCTCCAAGCTCAGAAGCCTCAATCTCACCTTGAGACTTCCTCTGGCAGCGCCCGTGTGCTTCCTTCTGCAGCCTACTTGTGTGCGTGGTACTTCTGCAGAATGTTCCCACCCCAGCAACCATCCTTATTTAGCCTTTGTGTCCCTCTCTTTGTTTCTGCAATAGCTCCACAGTGGGCTTGCTATCTCTTTCTCTCCTCTTCCGTTCAGCATTCATTCTTAACCTAAGCAGGCTTTGAACAGCTCTTGGTGCTAGAGAACAAAGCAGAGCTGGTCGAGTACGCCCTCATGAAGCTGAAAATCCAGAGCCCGGCCTCCATTTGTGCCATTCCCTGTGGTTGTGCAAGTTCTTCATAGCACAAGGATACTGGACAAGACTACCTTCGAGAAAACTTAGAGTCACTACCTATTCACCCTGGCTTCTACCTCTGGGCCGCCTTTGCCCAGAACCATTATTTTGTCTAATTCTCACAATAGTGATATATGGGTTAGCCTGGGCTCTGGGTATGCACTGTTCCCAAATTAATTGTTCTAAAACGTAGCTGTGTTTATTATGTTCCTTTATTTTTATCTACACTGTATTTTTTCTTATATTATTGTTGTGCTGGGGGTACATTGTGACATTTACAAAAGTTCTTTCAATATATCATAACTCACCCCCTCCATCATTCTCCTTTATCCCTCTGTCTCCGTGTTCCTCTATTTAATTCTTTGCTCATTTGAATTAAGAGCTGACTTCTACACTTCAAACATGTCCTGACCTCAGCTCCAGCACGCTGGACTTTGCCAACCTGGCTCCAGCACGCTGTGGATTTGCTGCCCTGTTTGTCCTTGTGCGTGCTTCTCTTGCCACCAGGACCTTAGTGCCTTCTCCAACTGCTCAACACAGCATGGGCACCCTGCCTACCATCGGTGATGCTTTGGTAAACTCTTTCCATGCTTCTCACCCCAACTAAGTTCTCTTGTTTTAGAACTAGCATGAGATGGTTGGAGCAACATCAGCCTTGGAGCACAAACTATCTGTTTGACCCTCCCTAGCCAAATCCTTTGGGTTCTCAATGTTTACAGCACAAAGATGAACAAAACAAATCAAGAAAGCCCCTACTCTGTGTCTGCAGAGTTGTTCTGAGGGTTAAGTATTTGATTCGGTGTCTATCCAGGGACAGCTCCACTGAAGAGAATGAAATTGCAGGAAATGCATTGAAGGAAATATTCCAGAGTTCCTCTGCACCCCATCATATCTGCTCTTGGGGTTATCTCTACTTTTATAGCCTTTCCTGTGTTCTTCCTCTTACCCTTTTTTGGACTTGTGTTTTTACCTCCTGGTCTGAATATCCTGGATGGAAAGGTTGTCTTTTGTTCCTCCTAATGTCCCTGCAGTGCTGCCAACATGTTTTTCATGTATCAAGTGTTTAACAAACACCTACAGGACTGCACTGGGTTGTTGTCTTCTCGAAGTTTCCCAGGTCTGGTCTGTTCCTGGCAGAATATAAAGAAGGCTCAGAGACAAAGGATGTTGACCTGTTTGGGAAGACTATGGAATAGTTCCCAAAGTTGATTCCCTCAGCCCTGGAGAGTGACACTGATTTGGAAAAGATTGTGGAGCTCTCTGCTTCTTCCTGAAACTTTTTCCCTTTGGCTAGTTGGTGTTCATTTTCAAAGAGATGATGAGTGCTTGGGTTTTGTCTGTGTTTGTCCTTAAACTTTCTCTTCTTATTCTGTGGGCCATCACTTAGATTTGAAGTGTATGAAATTCCCAGAAGGTCTTGGCACTTTTTTATAGACTGGTCCCCATCAAAAAGGGATCCTAGTCAGAGCCAGTTGCCATTCATCCCTATTGTTACTGCCATTTGTTATATATTAGCAGTGCAGCAGAGTATTTCTTAGGAAATAAGTTTTAGCTGGTTTCAGGCCTGCATTTGGTGAGACCAAATGAATTGTCACCAGCTTTCTGTTTTGAGTGGGGTTTTTTTTCTTCCTCAACCTACTCTTTATGGAAGACACTTCAATGTCACCTTGAAACATAAAGAACTTTGAGAAAATTTGTCATAACCAGAAACAGATTTAGACTCAATGTGTTGCTTCTTTCAATGTCTACTTTTAGTGCATCCCTATTCCGGAGTCAAGCTCCAAATGAATCATTGTGTACATAGAAGATTCTTCTTTATTTCTCTGGTAGAAAGATGTCAAAGCAAACAAAACTCTTGACTTTCTTTACTTTTAGCTAACTAGTTTGTGTTAGCCTATTGGTTAGAACATTGGTTCTATGATTTTTAAGTGGTAAAGTTGATTATTGAGAAATGAGTGTTTTCTCAGTAACATATCAAGATGAGCAAGTTTCCCTAAATCTTCCCTAGACAAGAAAAAAATAATTGGTGTGGTTGGTCAAAGTCTATTTTCTAGAAGCTGTGCATAATGACGTGAGTCAAAGGTCAAGAATGAGCTCTGAGGGCCCTGGCAGTGAGGGGACACAAAGGGAGGGTTTTGAGTCACTACTGTGGAGCCCTTGAAGAAATGAGCAGGTGATGAGGAACTGTGGGATTTTCTGGCTCAGTTCATCCCCACATCTTCAAGAAAACATATGGTGAAGGTCCTCGATACTCAGCAAGCGAATTTTTGTTTGGCTCCTCAATGGGTATATTCGGCCTTAAGGCAGCCCGCCTACAGCAGGGTTACAAGAGATAAGTTTGGACTCGGGAAAGAACAAGGAAAATAATAGAAAAGGACCCTTGATAATGAAAGGGTTGAGAGCCATGGAAGACTGGAATTTTATCTCAGAATAGTCATCTGGAAACTGAGCAGAAGCTGACATGCAAAAGAGAGGGAAATTAGTGAGTAACTGAGATATAAATAATTTTGCAAGTTGAGAACTTCTAATTTGCCTTGAGTGAGGTACAAGGTTAGTTTTAAGGAACTTTCCTAAACAGAATTTTTATAAACATAAAAGGTACTTTTAGAAAAAAACACCAACAATTACATTTGGTGTATGTTAACAGAGCTCACAAGACAATTTTATTTACCTTTCTAGTCTTTGCCTAACCTTTTGACATCTACATTTGGCCACATGTCAAATTTAAGATGTGTAACATGAGCAAAGAATGAATGTCTGGTATCTTTGTTTTCTCTCCCACAGTTATGCAAATGCACTACTCACCCTTAAACTAGAAGCCTTGTCCCAAGGGCAAGATAAATTAAGCTGGAATGAAATTCAGAATTGTATCGATATGATTAATACTCAGATTCAAGAAGAAAATGATCGTAAGTATGGAACACTTCCCTTCTCTAGCTTAGTGGGACAACTTAATTCTTGAGAGTTGCAAGTTTTTCCTCTTGGAGTTTATAAGAATACATTCCCAGCAAGGTAGGTTCATGTCTATAATCCCAGACAGTCTGGAGGTGAAAGCAGGAGGGTTGCCATCCAGGGTTGGCTAAGGCAAAAACATGAGACCTTGCTGAAAAATAGATGAAAGTAAAAAGGGATGGGGGTATGGCTCAAGTGGTAGAGCGCTTGCGTTCAAACCCCAGTATCACCTCCCCCCAAAAAAAGCCTCCCTTAATTGTATGTATTTATTACATATAAATTATATTCAAGACATAAAAATACAGAAGTAGAAGTCCTAATTATTTTTTTATCTAGAAAAGACTTGACAACTCCACTTTTGTAAGTACCCAGCATTTTCTTGACCTTTGACGTACTTTCCCACCTAGGAATTAAAAAAAAAAAAAAATTGGAGTACAATCTGACTTTATGCTCATAAATCATGGTGACTTGATCTATTTCTAAAATTATGAGCTACTAGCATGAAAATGGACCAAGCCCAAGAAGACATGCCCTCAAACATGCTTTCTTGATGTCAACTTGCTTCCTTTTGCTTATAAAAACAGAGTGAAGAACGCAGCATTGTGTAATTATTCACTGCTTTTCTGTAGCATAAATGGCCAAATTCAGTATTCAAGTTGTCTCATCACCATCTCCTTGGCCTTTCTAGTTCTTTGGCTTGGATTGCTAAAATATCAACCTCATTTGTAGCTCCAGCTTCTTTTTGCTTTGTTTTTTCCTTGTTTGGTTGTTTTTTTGTTTTGTTTTGTTTTTTGAGACGGGGTCTTGCTATGTAGCCTCAGCTGGTCTCAACCTCACCATCCTCCCACCTCTCAAGTGCTGGGCTTCCAAAGATGGGACCTGGTTCTCATCGGGCTACCATGCCAGCCCGGCTTTGACTTTTCTGTCACTTGCTCTCAGCTTGCTGATGGAGTGGGCAGAAGCTTATGTTGTAAGTCTGAGAGTGTGCTTTGTAATAGTGTGTTTTGGTAAGGCCTCAGATCTGGTCCCCTACTACTGTATCTAACTCTGGATTACTAAGATCAGATAAAGCACCTGACTTTGTTAGTTGATTGCATTACATAGTTTTCTTCTTATTCTTTGCTATTTCTTGTGAGCAACATGCCAAAAATCAAGGTCTGGTTTGGCTTTTGTTTCTACACATCTTCTCACTGGAATCCTGGTATAAAGGGAGAATTGCCATGAGAGTGTGCAATAAGTGTGCTTACTATGACACTGACATCTGGACATCATTGTCCTTTTTAAGTTGTGTAAACAGCTGAACTTCCTCTTTTGGGAACACAGAACTTTCTGTTCCCTCACTGCATTTCCGGCCAATGAGGTGCGGGAAGTGTCTGTAATCAGCACACAGTGTGCACTTTGCTCTTTTTGATGTGTTGGCTTGGATGCTTTGTGGCTTGCTAGATGTCAGTCAGGAGGCAAGCACTAACTTGAGCAGATGTTCAGCATTGGGGTAGGGGGGTGGGGCAGCATCATGGGTGGGCAGAGGTTAAGGGAGAGAACCACGGATGCTGCTGCTGCTGCATGTGTGCTGCAGATCTTGGGCCCCTAATCCTACACCTTCCTGTCTTCTTCCTCAACCCCCACCTCCACAGGCTGAGTCTCCTGCTGCAGTGGTTGTGGGTGTGATGCCACCTGCAATGTAGCACTTCTTTCTTTTATAAGGTGAGCCAAACAAAGAGTCAGGTCCCACCTTTGTTTTCTAACTTTCCCCCAATTCTTTGTGGCAGACCCTGTAGTCCAGGTCTGCTTTGGGGACCTCAAATGGGCTTCTACTCCAAGTGATGGTGCCTTGTCACCAGTGCTACTGTTGGAGTTTGGTTCTCCTCCTTGACACAATTGGAGGGAGAAGTGCCATTTTCAAATATCAAACTGAGCCTCTGCTTTTTCAGGAAAAAAAAGTGATGCTTATGTAACTTAAACAGTGGCCTTTTGTAGGTAGATACTATTTGTGACAAAAATCTCTTGACTGCTATGGCTTTACCTATTGAACTAACTGCTGTGCAAAGGACAGAACACAAGGCCTCTCTTACATTTCATGTAAACATCTTGTCATGATGGGTATATGTCATGGCCAGAAAAGTTACTTCAGAGACTAGTGTTTCCTTTCTAGAATTTGGGAACTGTAATACAGAATATTTATCTGTGCTTTGCTTTGATTTTTTTTCACTTTTGTCAAAATGAAGTATTTTTGTTTAAAGTTCCCAAAATATTGAGTTTGATATCATATGTATGGGTAACTGCTTAAAAAGCTAAATGTTTATCTCGATAGATAGATAGACAGACAGATAGATAGATAGATAGATATAGATAGATACAGATATATATATAGATAGATATATACACACTTTATATATATAGAGATTGTGGATGGACATAATTTCCACAATGTACTATTTAAACCATCTGAAAGAGCTGAGAATTTTTTTTTTAGAGACATATACTTTAATCTTTTTTTTTCATTTTTCTTTTATTATTCATATGTGCATACAAGGCTTGGTTCATTTCTCCCCCCTGCCCCCACCCCCTCCCGAGCTGAGAATTTTTAATGGGCATTTTGAAGACCCCCCACCACACCACACATGCCAGAATCTGTTCCTGAGTCTGACTTGTGATGTGGATCAGATGTGCAGCTCCATGGAAGGGAAATCCTGTGGGGAAAATGCCCTTCCTCAGACTGGGGTATTCTGTTTCTTACAAGAAAGTTCCGTTTTCCCAAGACAGTCATAGAGGAACATTGTTTTAACTATGTAACCTAGGGTACTTTCGTGCTCGAGATTTTGTTTTTTACAATTTGATAGGTATCATTCCTTATAGGTAACTAACTTCATCTGCTATTTCAAACCTATGGCTTCTCCCAGGAGGCCCACCCCTCACTGGACTAGAATGTTTATGGTATCATGCTTTGATTTAAAGAAGTGGGTCATGGACTGAGGCTCAGCAATCTTTGTTCATATGTAATTTCCCCTTTACCTGAATAAACAGAGAAACTGATACAGATGTGCCCAGGGGGCTTCTGGGTAGGTCTTTCAGCTCCTATGAGGTCATTTACTGTGACTTCAGCAGCTTGTGTTAGCAACACACCCCAAATTTCAGCCGGTGATTTCAATCAAGTCAGCTGGAATGCACGCATTGCCAGGTGATCGGCTGTTAGGATGTGTGTACATTCTCTTTCTCAGACTTGGTGCTCTTAAGACCATTTTTGGATGAGGTGTTTGAAGGTATTTAGAGCAGCTTCACCAAGAGGGTGTCCAGTGAATGACGTGAAGTATCCTGTACTGTCCAGTTTATAAATACCATAGGGTGAGATGACAATACCTTGTATGTGGATTGTATTTAGATTTCCAGAGTTCTCACAATATCTGGAAGTCAGTTAGTTTACATGTTAGAAAAATATTTTTGCTTTGGATTCAGACATATTTAAGTATTATAATCTGGGAAATTTTCTAGGAGCTTTAGATTATCCCTTTCCCCTTACAAATAAATTGTGTCATTCTTAGCAAAGTGGTATTTATGGGGTTATATATTCAGAAAATACTTAGCTAAGTGTTTACCTTAGTTTAAATGACAAGATAGAGATAACTTTAAAAGTTCATTCTGTTTCATGGCATATCACATTTGTAAGAATGCTTATTTTATAAGCTTGCTCATTAATGTTTAGTTGGTTTTTGTTTTTTTACCAGTTTTTGTTCATCAGCACTAAAGGAGGCAGTGAAAACCTCCTGTTAGCATGTATATGAGTGTGTACACATACACTCACAGTATTGTTTTATTACTGGGTGATAGTAAATTTTTTTAAATCATAAAATGGCACTGAGAAGTGGCCACCAAACAGATCTATTTTGCTTAGAATTGTATACAATAAACTTTTCACACTCCATAACTTGGCTTCTGTGCTTTTATTCCTGGTCCATATAGTCTGTGTTCTGAGATGATAGAAATTAAATAAGAGGGTATGCTTATCCATCCTCTATGAATTAGGAATTCATGTATTATTTTCTGTTATTAGATAATATGTGAAATCAGTTACTCATACTCAAGCCTTAAATTTTTCCCAAAATATACATGACTTTATTTTCACGAAGCCTGTCTCTATTTCCCAGCTATATGTAACTGTTTAAAGTAAATTAAAGTATAAAGCTAAGTAAAATGTCTGAGTTCAGTTTTTCAGTTATACTAGCGACATGTTAAGTGCTTGATAATAACGTGGTTAATGGCTACCATATTGACCAGCACAAAGAAAACTTTCCTGTCACCATACAAAGTTCTATTGGATAGCACTGAGCTGTGTGGAAATTCACTCTATTTTTTTTCGACAGTGTAGAAGATTGCTTGGTTTTGAACTGTCTGTTTTGGCATCCTTACAGAGGACTGAAATAAAGTAATATGAAGAAATAGAGTATATAGCCAAACCTCTCTCTATACTTCTGTTGTCTTTCCTTTTTTGGTGTTCTGAGATTGAACCCAGGGCCTCATGCCTGCTAGGCATTCTGTTTTCTTATCTGTACATCTCTCAGTTAAATTCGTTAGGTTCTGGTGTTCCGTGGTTCCACCACCTGTGATCTTGGCATTACTATCTAGCATCTAAGTGAAGGTAACATTAGAAGTAGCGTCCCTGTTGCTATTTATTTGCAAAGTAACACCTTTATTGAAATATCACAAACCATAGAGTTTTCACCCTTTAAGATTGTACAGCAGCCTTTTGCTTCCAACTTTTTTCCTTTAGCATAATGTTTTCAAGATTCTTTCACATCTTCTCATATATCAGTACATTTCACGTTCCTTTCTAAGTCAAGGAATATACTAATCTATGGAAATATATTTGTTTATCCATTAATCATTTGATAGAAATTTGAGCCATTTCTACTTTTTAGCTATTATAAATAATCCTACCATGTACAAATTTTTGTGGACATGTGTTTTCAGTTGGCTATATACCTAATGGTAGAATTGTGGATCATATGGCAATTGTATGTTTAATTTTTTAAGGACCTGACAAACTGTTTTCAAAGTGACTGCACTATTTTCCATTGCTGCCAGCAATGTATGAAGGTTCTAATTTCTCAACATTCTCAGCAACGCTTGTTATTGTTTATTTTTTATAACCATCCTAGTGAGTGCAAAATGTTACCTTACTGTGATTCAGATTTACGTTTCCCTACTAATGACTGGGGCATCCTTTTCATGTGCTTATTAACCATTTGTTTATGTTTGTTAAAGAATTATCTCTTTAAATCCTTTGTTCATTTTAAATTGTTGAATTCTAAGAGCTCTTTATATATACAGCACGCACGTCTTTTTATTAGATATAAGACTTGCAAATATTTTCTCCTGTTCTTTTAATAGTTTTTTTCATTGTCTTTGATAGTGTCCTTTCAAACACAAAAGGTTAACTTTGACAAAAGTCTCGTGTGTTTATTTTTTGTCTTTTGGTGTTTGTGCCCCTGGCATCATAGCTAAAAAATAATTGCCCAGCCCAAGGCAATTTATTCCTATGTCTTCCCCTGAGAGTTTTATATGTCTGGTCTTTAAATTTAGGTCTATGATCTTTTTTAAAAATTACCTATCTATTTACTTATTTTGGTCACTATGTAGACCAGGCTGGCCTAGAACTCCCTCTGTAGACCATGCTGGCTTCAAACTCGCAATCCTCTTGCTTCATCCTCCCAAGAGCTGGAATTATAAGCATGCACCAACAAGGCTCAGCCTTGGCCTATTTTGAGTTATTTTTGTGCATGGTTTGATGTTCATACACAGGTGGATATCCAGTTGTCCCAGCACCATTTGTTATAAAGATTATCTTTTTTTGCACAATTGAATTGTCTTGGCACACTTGTCAAAAAAATCAGTTGACTATAAGGGTTTGTTTCTAGCCCCCCAACTCTGTTCCATTGGTCTGTATGCTTATCCTTATGCCAGTTCTGTGCAGTTGTTATCACTGTAGCTTGTTGTATGTTTTGAAATGGGAAAAGTTGTTCAACTTTTTTCTTCTCTTTTTCAAGATTGCATTGGTTATTCTTGGTTCCTAGCGTTTCCATATGACTTTTAGAACTGGCTTGTGAATTTCTGTTTTTAAAAAGGATTTTTATAGGAGTTGCATTGAATTTTGGAGATCAAGTTGAGGAGTTATTTCCACCTTCACACTAATATGTTTTCTAATGTATTACCTTTCCATTTGTTTTGGTTGTCTTATTTTTTCCCGGGGTTTTCAGTGTGCATGTCTAATGCCTGTTTGGTTAAATTATTCTTAAGTACTTATTCTTTTTGTAATCGAAATGCATTTGTAATTATAATCTATTACGATTTGAATTTTCCATAATTTCATTTACAGAATGCCCATCACGAGCATATAGAAGTACCTTTGGTTTTGCCCATGGACCTTGTGTTCTCTACACTTGTTTATTAACTCTTCCTAACAGGTGGTAATACAAAAACGTATAACGTGCTATGACTTAAAAAGAAATTTTTATCTTCATTTTCCAGGAATCATAGCTATAGGATACATCAATGAAGCTATAGATGAAGGGGATCCTTTTAAGACACTAGAAACCTTGATGTTACCGACTGCTAAGATCAGAGATGTGGACCCAGGCCATGCTCTGCACTACCAGGATGTTTTGTACCGTGCAAAGTCACAGAAGCTCAGGGTAGGTTTTAGTTCTTTATTTAAGTTTGCAGGCTGGGGTGGGGAGCGGGATAAGAAGGAGGAGTTTTGATCCATTTTTCTTAAATCACATGAGCTTCTTATCGCAGTGAGTCCTAATGGAAACGATCAGGCTGTTTTCATAGTGCCAAACAGTAGGGAAAGCTAGTACCAGGGCTTATTGCTGCTTCTGTTCTTTCACTCAAAGCCCAGTTGTAGGTAAGTTCTTGTTCAGAGTCTAGTTCCTTGGATGTTTCCTGATTATATCTTGTGTATACTGTGCAGTGTTTAACATCTGATGGGGAACAGTGCAATACAGAGGCAGCTGATGGCGTGATGCCATTTGTGTGTTCTCTGTCCTTATTCTCAAGACACTCAGGAACTTACAAGGAGGCAGAGAGCATTCTTGTGTAGAACAGTTAGCATGTAGGGGAGAGTAGTGTGCTGCAAAGTGTCAGAAAGATAGGTTCAGAGAAGGCTGAAACTGTTGTGGTCTAGAATCTCAAGAGAAGCTGGTGTGGAGGTAGAACGGGTGCCTGAAAGGGAAGGAAGAGTGAGTAGGTGGGTGGAGGTCAGCACAACTCAGTGAGCCTCAGGCTGGCATGGCAGGAGATTCATCTGCAGGAATCCTCTTGAAGAGTTGGGGGTTGTCTGGTAGTAGAACTTACACTAAGAAATCTAGGGCTCCTAGAAGGGTACCTGGCTAAGTGTTGAGACTTGGATGACAAATCACTGAGAGTGGGGAGTGATGTCCTCTAGGACCTAGCCACTGGTGCCTACCCTGTCCCCAGCTGCAAGCCCACCTGAAAGGAGTGGTCATTCACTTTCCATAGTCTTCGAGCCCAGGAACTGCCTCATCTGAAACATCCTTGGGTAGAGCACATATTTATGGAGCACTCACTGTTTATTGGGCGTTAATAGTGAATATTGTACTCATGTTGTCTCATTTAATCCTCGTAACAATTCCTAACAGCCCCTCAGTCGCTTAGCCATTACTACTGCCATCTTCTAGATGATGAAACCAGGATTAAACAATTGCCCAAAGCCATCCAAAAGGAATTAGTCCTGGAATTATAACCAGGTCTGTCTAATTCAGAAACATATATTATGGTGTGTTATAGTGGGTGGAGAGAGAGATTTATTGCAGCTTGGTTTACAATAACAAAAGAGCAAAATGACCTAAATGAATTTCCTTCTGTTTTCTTCTTTGGCAGTGCTTGGGGATCAAACCCAGGCCCTTGTGCACGATAAGCAAGTGCTCTATCACTGAACCACATTCCAAACCCCACAAATGACCTAAATGTTAAGCCACCAAAAGCATGCTTCCACATGCACAGAAACCAGATACACATCCACGGGAGGAGGAAAACGTGCATACTTATAAACAAAGTGTTTCTGAATTTCTGGAAAGTGAACTAGAAGGCTGGGGCAGATAGAACTTTTCTTTGTTGTTTTGTATTTTTCTGCTACATGGATTTTTAAATGTTTTAAAGAGTGCATGTAGTGTTTATATTGGTATGTAAAAATCCCGTTTGCTCCACACTACTAAACCTCCTCATTGAAAGTAGAGGAAACTAGGCCCCGAAGTGAGGCCTTCTGCCCCGTGCTGGCAGTGCCTTATCCTTGGTGCCTTCCAGGGGCTCTAGGAATCTTCCTCAGCTAAGTCTCCGATGTGGGCTGGGTGCTGTCCCATCCAAAAGGATGAGCCTAGGGCTCTAGGCAAATGCCTGGCCAAGGTAGAGCCAATAAATGGGACAGTGAGTACTCAACCCCAAGCCTCTTGTCCCCACATGCCAGGAGAGAAAAGTGGGCCTCCACTTTGCTGTTCCCGTGATAAGGCTGTGTCCATGGTACACGACAAACTATCAGCATTGAAAAAGGTAATTGTTTGCTTGGGAAACAGGCACCATTCAGGTTCTGGCTGTGTGACCTTGGTCAAGTCACCACATCTTTATGTACTTTGTTTTAACTTTAAACAGTTTTTTTTATTACACAAAGGTTGTCACATATTGGATAGTTTTCTACTTTGTACACAATTCTTACTTTCCATAGAAAGGCTGCTTTCTGCATTTTCAGCTGATGCTGGCAAGCACTGAAGTCCTGATTTTAACAGAATAGGACTAGAAATGCCTCAGGGATTTGAGTTGAAAGCAATCTTTGGTACATTCTTTTGCACCCAGTATCAAGAATGTACAAATGCCGTTTTATTCAAAAATACAAAGTATATTACCTGTAGATATGGACAGTGACAGCAGTAAGCCATTATATACTGTCAACTGAAACCAGTAGCTGGTGGTTAGGATGATTCTCTTAAACACCAGCCCGCCTTTTCTCCAGGCATTTTGTTCCATTGAGTTCTCCGAAGTTATTGGTAAGGAACCCTGGCTTGAGCTTCCTGTCTTTAACAATTGCTCATTAACAAAGTTAAAGCACTGCTCTAGTAATTAAACATGCTGCTTCCATACCCCCTCCATCTACCCATTGTCCTCCTCCTCTTTAGGAATTTCTGTGGCTAAAACTGCTGCTCTAACTGAAAAGCGGCCCCAGCATCATCCAATAAAGCGGTTCTTACAGCCTTTACTGGATCAGTAATTCCTTTCCTACCATAGTCACAGAATCTCCAAGCATTGCATCATAATGAACGTCTAGGGAACTTTGCAGGATTTTCCCAACAGTCAAAGATCCTTTAATACCTCTTAGTGATACTCACTGCAGGAATTTTTTTTTTAAACCTGCGTTAGCAGGAGTTAATGAGTCCAAGGCTGGGATGCACCAAAGCAGAACACAGCCCTTCCGAGCACAGTGCCTTCATCAACACCGCTCTTGCAGCATGAGGACAACTGTGACTCTTTGTTTTCATTCACTTTGACATCACTTGTCCCAATTTTCACTTCAGTAAAACTACTCCATCTGAAAGTTTTACCAGTCATTCATTTGGTCCTTTCTTTTCATAGTCGCTAGTTGTGATATCTAACTGCTCGATGATTTCTTGAATATATTTTTCACTTTGAATTTTGTCACCTGTTCCTTTCAAACGTGTGGCATCATCTTCTGTCATCATGACCTCACCAACTTTTCCTAAGTCATGAGCCTGAGTGTCTTCAAGACTTAGAAGCAAGCCTTCCTCACCAAACACTGCACCACCAGTAGAAAGAGCCATGTGTTTTAGCTGGTTCTTTCTATTGTCACCAAAACCCAGAGCGTTAACTGCTACACCATGATGACCAATTTTTAGCCTATTTGGCACAGGGCTTCCCCATCAGCATCGTCAGTGATTATGACTAAGGGCTTTCGATGGGCATTGGCATTTCAAGAGGGGGTACAGTGGACTGGATGCTAGAAATGTTTTCACTCAATAGAACACAGTCCTAAAATGCACATTTTTTACCTGCTGAGGTGTGATTGAAGTATGGGCAAATAGATTCATGACCATACTTCGTAACTTCAGTAATTTCTAATTCATTGTTCAGTTTTTCCATCCAGTAAAATGATGATTCCCTTCCTTCCAGCCTTTCTCATCGCATCGACGGGATGTCACCAATCTCTTTGTCTCCATTTTCAGACATGGTAGCAACTGAGCAATTTCTTCAGGGCTTATCATAGGTTTAGACTGCTGCTTCAGTTCACAATCACAGCATCAATAGCTAACGTCACACCTCTCCTGATTTCCACTTGACTGACACCTTTGCTAATCTCTGAAGCCTTCCTTGGCCATGGGATCTGCCAGTACAGTAGCAGTGGTGCTACTTCATCTGTATTGTTGGCAATATCGTGAAGCTTAGTTCCAGTATTTTTATATTTATCCTTTCAATCAATTGACTTTGAAACAGTCACACCCCCTTTTGTTATGTCAGGACTCCCTCCAATCATCTGTTTGATGATCTCTGTTCTCCCCTTTGGCAGCTACAGCATCAGATAACAGGTCTATATCTTAAAGCATTAAGGCTCAAGCATCTGCACCAAATTTTCTATCTTTGGCATAAGCCTGAACAAGATGAGGAGCCAGTACCCTGGACACTGGTCTCATCAGGCAAAGGACTGTGAGTAATCGAAGCATTTCTGTAGGACGTTGACAGAGAGTGTAGGTGGTGAGGCAGGCCATTGGTGGAGAGTGGGGGCTGAACTTATATTCGCATGTGTAAATTGAGAAGAATAATACCTGTCTCACTGAATTATAAATAGGGTAAGATGAGAAGATATAAAGCATATAAATGTGTTATTATAATATATTAATGTTATATTAATGACATTAATTACAAATATATGTATATATATATATATATGTGTGCCTGGCACCAAAAAAAAAAAAAAAAAAAACCAACCTGCCTAAACAATGTAACTTGTATTATCATGGCTGCTTCCCAAGTTGGCCATGAGTGACACAGAGTCTCCTCTGCCCATACAACTGGGTTCCTCTCTGCCCATAGCATATGGGGTTTGTCATTGAGGGATCCTGACTCCATAAAGCCAAGGCTTTTCATGGGCGGACAGTGTGGTTCCCTTCCAAAGCATTCCAGTCAGGCTCTAGACAGAACTCCACAGGACTCCTGGGCACTCAGGAGGCTTCAAATGCTCATTGTGTGACAACTCCGTGTTGGACAGCCTCCCTGTGTGTGGAAGCAGCAGCTTTAATGGTGTGGGTGGAGCATTAAATATGGAAAATAGGGATCTGGCTGCTAGCTCAGGAATCAGTGGAGCTATATTAGCCATCGCCAATAGAATCAAAACACTACAATTCCAAGGAACACCTCGGATTTGATTAAATTGCTATTTTTGAGCACAGTTTGCTTTTATTTTTTTCTGATGCTGGGGATGGAATCTAGGGTCTTACACATTCTGGCCAAGCACTGTACCACTGAACTCCAGCCCCAACCCTAGTTTATTCATTTTTAAGCTTTTCTCAGCCTGTTCTTTTTCCTAGAAAACATCTAATTGTGTTTGGCTGTGTTTGTGTTTTGGTTTTCATCGCTGCTATTTTGATTCCTGGAAATTTCTAGTGTATTTATATAGTGATATTTCTGTGCCTTGCCTCCTTCCCAAGGTCTAGCCTTAGAAAATAATAGAAAAAATATTGCTGGTATTATCAGTATCAGGTAAAGCTTATTCTAAAATGTACAGCCATTAAAGGTCACAGTGAGTGACATCTTTATAGAATGATGCACAGTTTTATCAAAGACTGAGGTCAGCGATGTAAGTTGGTGAGGATTCTTGATCCTCTACAGTTAACCTTGTAGAGACACCAAATCCCTTTTGTCTCATGGGACAGGATGGTTCATGGGCATGTCGGCATATACTTAGCAGACTAGAACACATTTTCTTTGTCTATCTACTGAAAGCAATGAATTCTGGGTGATTTTTAAATTGAAGGCTTTGCTTGACAACATAGGAATTATACCAAAAAGTTCTGATTTGCTCCTTGTGTATTTACTCCACAAAAAGTAATTGTGATTTTGGGCTGGTAGAGTGACTCAGGCAGTAGAGGGCTTGCCTCACATGTTCAAACCCCAGTGCCACAAAAAAAAAAAAAATTAATTGTGCACTTAGCAAGTGAATATTTCTGTATTTTTCCCCAGGAAAAACTGCATTGCAATCGATGATTTGTTTTTTTAGAAATGATTTCTTTCCATTGAAGTTTTCAGAATCTTGAAAGTTAGTTTAGATCTGTTTTTCTTGCTTGCTTTAATGTTAGCCTGATTTTTTTACTCTTTATGTAATCACACACACATACTATAAAGAGTCTTCATATCCAAGATGGGGTTTTTTTGTTTTTGTTTTTGTTTTTTTGGTGGTACTGAGATTTGAGTGTAGGGCTTCACACTTGCTAGGCAGGTGCTCTACCATTTGAGCTACATCCCCAGCCTTTTTTTTGCTTCAGTTATTTTTTGGATAGGGTCTAACGTTTTTGCCCAGAGCCAGCCTCAGATCAGAATCCTCCTACCTATACCTCCCACATAGCTGAGATTACAGGTGTGTGCCTCCATGCCTGGCTGTTCATGTACAAGTGTTTTGTCCAGGTCCAATGAAACAGAAAACTGTAACTCAAAAGTATGTATTTTAATGTTTTTATTGTTTGAATGGTCAGAGCAAAGTATGTAGTCAATTTGTGTACCTACAGACTTAACAATTCATCTCAGCAATGCCTCATGCTTAAAGGTTTCTTCAGCCCCATGTGTGTTCACTGATGGCCCCCCACTCTTAGCCACTAGTACTATTCCTAGTAAAAAGAATAAAGAAGAAAAATAGCTAAATTCCTACATGACCATAGATGGACATTCTTAGCTAAACTTCCTTCCTTTCTCACATCCTATTGAGAAATGATGGCATCTTGTCATACAGAGCGTGTTGCCTTTTCAGTGTGAACTGAATGGCCTTTAATACTGCTTAGATGCTTTGGGATTCTATTCTTCCATTTAGCCAGTAATGTGCAAAGCATGAGCTTGAAAACATGTGGGCCTAGAGTGGCCACAAGAACCTCAAAGAAGGGAGGGACAACACCTCCATTATACCGTTGTCCCTCAGCAGCCCCAGGGGACTGGTTCCACAATTCCTGCAGATACTGAAATCTGCATGTGCTCTAGTCCCATGGATAATATGGTGTAGCATTTGTATGTAACCTCTTCACCGCCTCCCGTGAGCTTTAAAATCGTCACTGGATAATTTATGATAAATAATACAATGTAAATGCGGTAGCCTGTTATATTGTTTATACTACATTGATTAGGGAATAGTGTATTGTTTAGGAAATAATGATAATAAGAAAAAGTGTACATAGTCAGTATAAACACATTTTTTTTCAAATACCTTTTATCTATAATTGTTTGAATCTGCAGCTGTGGAATTTGGAGATATGGGGGGATGACTATATGACACTTGTTTATAGAGCTATAAACTATAGTTTATAAGGCTAATATTTGTATATAAACTTTATAGTTTATAGAGCTAATGTTTGTATATAAATGAGCTACATAGAAGTGTCATGACTAAAAAAAAAAGTTTAATGTGCTTTTGAAAGTTCAGGTGAGAAAAATGACACTCTAACTTAAGAATCAGGAAGAAAATTCCTTCAAGGACTTCAGGAAATGGACAAAATTAGGCTAAGACTTTAGAATGAGCTTTCAACTGAGGGAGAAGTAAAGAGAGGAAAAGTCAAGCTCATAGCCAAGTAAGATTTGGCTGGTGCTTAATCACCAAGGCTTCATAGGAAGTCAAGTTAGAAAGTTAGCCCTGAACGCCGATCGCTTATTCCAGAAGCGGTGGAGGGTAGGTAGAGGTTTTTGATGTATTGAAACTGGTATCTGAGAAAGAGTAACCTGGCATGATGTGTGAAATGAAGGGCAGGCTGACAGTGAGGAGAATGCTTAGGAGGCAGAGGTGAGATGAGGATGAAGGACGCTAGTAAAAGTTACTACAGAGATAGAATCAGCTGTGAGCAGTCCTTAGCATAAGCACCAAAAAATAATGCTAAGTTCCAAGGATGGTGACACCACTCATAGGAGGGAAGGGGGAATTTCAAGAGCTTTAGTATCAGTAAAGTAAATGGAAATGTGTCTGTTGCCATAGAGAATAGTAGTAACTTTCCTCTGCATTGACTTCTGAAAATACTGATAAAGTGTTTTAAAAATTACTAGTGCTTTTGTAATGTTTAATATTTGAAATACTGTTTCTTAGGAACTCAAAAATTGGACTAGAGAATAGAGCTGCTTGCATATGCCTCCCCAAGTGTGTATGTTTTCACAGATAGCTTTTCTTGTTCTCTAAGATGATTTCACCACTGTCAGCTAAGAACTGGATTGATCTGTGATTTTTGACATGAGAAAATAAAGGAATGGATCTAGGCAACTGTTTAGGCTACCCAAGCACAAAGCTATGAGATAGGTAAAGTATAATCCATCAGTGTTGTTATTGTAGTAGTTAGCATGGTGAATGATGAGTATAATGTTGCTTGGAGTGAAGCAAATTGTAAAAATCACAAGGATAAAGATAATCGCCTTGATATACCTCAGCCATCTTTGATCGTGTGCATTAAGTCTGCAGATGATGGTTGTGTAGCAATAGATACTAACCACAAATGGAATTAAGAATCCAAAGACTGCTAAGGAGATGAAGTAATAGAGTTGGAAGGAAGATGAAGACTCGCATGTGTTGTGGACGTCATGGCAGGTAGTGATCTCCAGCTGGACAAGATAGTACTCCTGCTTTAGGATGAAAAGTGGCAGCATACATAAGAAAACTACCACCCACACCAGTCCACATGTTAGCAAAGTGTAATTGCGCTTGGGCAGCCTCCGGTAGGTGAAAGGATGGACAATGGCCAGGTAACGGTTGACGCTCATGCAGGCAAGGAGCAGTATGGAGCAATACATGTTGCCATAGAAGAGCACCGTGGTGGCTCGGCACATGACCTCTCCAAATATCCAGTTGTTCCCGTTGAGGTGGTAAGCTATCTTAAATGGCAATGTCATACAAAAAAGAAAATCTGCAATAGCCAGGTTGGTGTGGAAGATGGACAGACAGTTGGATTTGGTCCTGAAGAAGAGTTTCCACAGGGTCACACTGTTGACTGGCACACCAATCACAAACACCAGGATATAAATGGTAGGTATCAGCTTAGTACTTAAGGAACTTCTCAGATAGCCCATGGTAGCATTATTCATGTAGAGATTTGAAACACTTTCTTCAGGACACTTCATTTTTACAGTTGCAGTGGCTCCTATCGAGCCTTCTATGTCAGAAGATGGAATATAATCAAAATCACTTGAGGGATTTCCATGAAAGGTCTTAATGGTTAAGGTTGGCTTTGCTGAGTTGTCTGCAACATTTTCCATGCCTGTAATTAAAAGAAAATATTAACATATTATTTGTGGCCAAGCCGTATCTATGTTTGGAAAAAATAAAATGAAGTGGTTTTTGTGCTCCATAATTTTCAGCAGTTATACAATTTAGACTCATTTTTATTTAAAAAAAATTATAGATCAGGCAATACATGGGCATAGATTTAGTGCATTCATAAACTCCAGCTCCATGCTGTCCCATGCAAAAAAGAAAAAATGAGATGACCTCCCTGCATGTAAAGAGTTTATAATGCTGTTGGAAACAAAATAGCCCAGTGGAACATTACAGGCAAATGTTACACTGACTATTCAGTGTAATGTTACACTAACTATTCAGGCAATAGTTAACAGACTCAAGTATTTGAACAAAGCGTCAAGGAAAAAAATGAACTTGAGCAAAGCTTATAAAGAGATAGAATTGAATAGATGATGGTAGTGGTACAAAGTTTTAAGTAAAATGCATTGTCTTGTGCTAAAAAGGTACATCTAAGAGATGAAGTGGAAAAGGTAGGTTACACCTAAATTCTTGAAGGACCTCTAAACTGTCCTGAGAAATCCTGGCCTGTTCATGGGGTTGCACACACAACTTTGAGCAGACGACTGACCATTGTGATAGACAGACTAGTGCCGCCACACCCCCAAGATTCCACCTCCTAGTTCCCTGACCTTACGATACGTTACCTCGCATGGTGAAAAGGACTTTGCAAATATGATTTAGAATGGATTCTGAGATGGGAAGAGTATCCTGATTGTCCATGTGGGCTAAATGTAATCCCAAGAGTCCTTAGAGGAGGGAGACAAGAGGATCAAAGTCAGAGATTTGAAGATGCTGTGCTACTTGCTTTGAAGATGGAATAATGGGCCATGAGTCAAGGAATATAGGCAGTTTGTAGAGGCTGCAAAAAAATAAAACAGATTCTCTCCTAGTATCTCTTGAATGAACACAGTCCTGCCAACACCTTGATTTTATGACTTTTGGCCTCCAGAAATATCAGACAAAAATCCCGTGCTATTATAAGTGCTTAATTTATGATCATTTATTATAATGCCAATAGGAAACTAATACAAGCATGATTTCGACTTGTACTTGCGGTGACTTTGGTGATAGTATTGAGACTCGATCATAAAGGTAAGAAATTAGAAGCAATAAGGCCTGATCTGGAGGCTTTGGTAATCATTCATACTCTAAGAATGGTGACTTACTGAACTAGAGCAAAGGTGATGGGAGGGTGACGATGAGCTCAGAAGGCTGGGCAGGGTGCAAAGGGACTTGGACTCTAATTGGCTGTGGGGGAAGTGGGGAGAAAGAAGGCAAGATGCCTGGGAGGTTCATCCTAAGTGACTTGGAAGGGGCCGTTAACTGAGATGAGACAAGAGACAGAGCACAGGAGTGGAAGACATTAACATCTCGTTTTTTAGGATTACTGTGGTGAAGTTGTGAAATGTCCAGCAAGTGGTTAGATGATTAGATGTGGAGTCTGAAAGTTCAGGAATCCAAATTGAAGAAGTAGATGTTTTTAGTGTCCATTGAGGCTGTAGTGTTGTTTAGGAGCAGTGGTGGAGATGGCCGAGGGAGACTTGAGAAAAAAAAATCCAAAAGCAGACTTTGGGGGAAATGCCAGATTTTTAAAAGGAGAGAAGACAGACATGACAGAAGATAAAATCATTACGGTGACCAAAGTAGTCAGAAATGAACTTTCAAACCTGTTAACTGTATATTATAAATACTTGGCATAACTTGGCCTGTTGATATTAGTAATCCTAGTTCCCAAAAGGGTAATTTCAACAACAAATAAGCCTTAATAATTCAAACCTGCTTAGCATTATATAGTGTTTCTGTGAATTAATCTTTGTCATCTATCAAATATGGCTTCTATTCTTAATGCCAAATTTAAATTTCATACTTAGTTTAAAATGCTCTGCCATTTCCATTGTCACACAACCTCTGAATTTCTGTTAAATAATTGAGGTTAGTGTCTTCTGGTTTTCATCTCTAGCCATTTACTCCCAGGTGAAATTGAAGCTTTCCTCCTAACACTGAAATCAGTGTGTAGGATGAAGGAAATGTGGTCTGAACACCTGGGCGTGGAGGTGATCAAGTGCTCAGACTAAGAGGAAAGAATTTGGAAAGTGGTATTCTTCTGTGCCTGTGTTTAGATACGACCATTGGAGGTGTGTCGTGTAACACTTGAGCCCAGCTGTGCAAATCCTTCAGCACACATTCACATTTTGGAAAAGTTGTGTCTGACATCACCCATAAATGAGAACCTTTAAAGAAAGATAAGCAGGAAGCCAGAAAACATTGACTGCAAACCACACTGTCCAAGTTAACTTCCCTTTACGATTTGGTAAGAGAGCTGCTGAAACCAAGTGTTTGTGTTTTAGAAAATTCCTGTGACTGAACAAGACCTTATGCCTACAAACATACCCGACAAGTCTGTGCTTGTGGAGACATTGCCTCAATTCCATTTTCCATGAGAATTCCAGATGTGGTCCCACTTAAATTTTTTATTCCTCGGAGCCTGGTTTCCCTTAAGAATAGTGCTTGTTGATAAGTTTTATTTTTAAGAAAATCTATTGACATTCTTTATGGTTATTCCATTTGACATAATGTTTCTGAAATGTTTTCAGTCCTTGGAGACAAGTCAAAGCGAAAGACTCCAACAATAAGTGAAAGACTATTCCTTCTTACCTCCCCCACCCTATTGAAGAAAGCAGATTCACTGCCCTTTGTCTGTTTAAAGTCCGCCCCCACTTTCACTTCCACCGACCATACTGGGATCTTGACGGCACTCCTCCATAAGCCTCGTTTTGGCTCACCCACTCCCACAGAGAGCCATGCTTAGGTGTGCTAATCATACCACAGGTTCCCTTACAGCCCCCTTGATCTTTCCAGTGATCTTGGAGACTCCAACTACTAATTTAAGCAACATTCCTTTATAGAGGGTTTCTTTTTGTTCAATTTTGGGATCTCCCCACCTCTCCCACTGTTAACAGTGTGACTTAACATAACCAAAAGGATTCAGACCTGTCTCAACATGGTTCATTTCACAGCAAGCAAGAGATTACAAGCTAGCATTGTGATGGGTAAAACAAGAAATACGTACAAAACAGAATAATGGTTTTTAGGAGATCTTATTTCTTCAATTAAAAAAAATCATGAGGACAGAGAGAATTCCCTGGTACTACTGAAAGTCAAAATCTGAATTTCATTTTGGAAACACTGTTAATATCACTGACTACTGAAAGCAAATGACTCTTTCTAGCAATATTCTTGTTTGTCCCATTTCCATTTGTGTCTTACCAGGAAGTAAAAATAAACAGGATTTTAAAAATTCCTTCAAAATGTGCTCTTTCCTAAACTAGAGGAAACCTCCTCAACTACAAAAACTTCTCACAGAGTATTGCTTTTTGACTTAATTGCAGATCTCTAAAATCTTGACTTTGGCATGAATTTTTAGATATTAGTAAAGATCACTTAGTCTTTGACAAGGTTTGAGTAGTGAGCAAACTAGATTTGCACTTCCATGATTTCAACCTTTTAATAACCAAGAGCAAACTCTGCCTTTTGGTTTGCAGTTTTTCTGAGAAAAAAACTAGGATCAGTTGACTCTGACAACACACAAACCAGTCCCCATCATACCCTAGGAGAAAAGAACTTACCACTTTGACAAAAAGTGGGTTGCAGAAGCAGCAGTCCAGAAGCTGCCAGGATAACAGCTTTCATTTTGATGTCCTGAGCCCCAAAACTTCTCAGAGGTTACCAAACATGGAAAGTCACAGGGCACAGTTCCCCCTCAGTTCCATGTGTAGCAGCAAATGGAGCCTTGATCTGTTGACACAAGTGAGCCACCCTGGGCTTTGTGGGAAGGAACTTGCCCTGGTCCTCTGCAGGGAAACGATGTCACTACTTGTAGTTTCCATGCATGACTCAGGCCAGACAGAGCCTCTGAGCATGTTACATAATTCTTGGAGGATGTCATTTAACTCTTCCCCACCCCTCACCATCCAAACTGAATGGATGCCACAGCTCTCCCCAGTGTGCTTGCGTGCATTTAAAGAATGGCAGGAAGTATAGAGTTACAGAACTAAGATGAGAACAGATGCTAAGTGGCAATTAGCTTTGAATGTATCCTGTCTCCCTTTTATCCATTAAAAAAGCACAGCTCCATGATGGAATTACTACTTAATCACTGAGCCCTTGGAGTTTATACTTTCCTCTATCTATCCTTCTTGAACTCATCACATAATTACAAATGAAATCAATCATGAAAAAACAAACTTTTTTTTTTTTCATTTTTCTTTTATTATTCATATGTGCATACAAGGCTTGGTTTATTTCTCCCCCCTGCCCCCACCCCCTCCCTTACCACCCACTCCCCCCCCCCCCGCTCCCCCCCTCAATACCCAGCAGAAACTATTTTGCCCTTATCTCTAATTTTGTTGTAGAGAGAGTATAAGCAATAATAGGAAGGAACAAGGGGTTTTGCTGGTTGAGATAAGGATAGCTATACAGGGCATTGACTCACATTGATTTCCTGTGCGTGGGTGTTACCTTCTAGGTTAATTCTTTTTAATCTAACCTTTTCTCTAGTTCCTGGTCCCCTTTTCCTGTTGGCCTCAGTTGCTTTAAGGTATCTGCTTTAGTTTCTCTGCGTTAAGGGCAACAAATGCTAGCTAGTTTTTTAGGTGTCTTACCTATCCTCACCCCTCCCTTGTGTGCTCTCGCTTTTATCATGTGCTCATAGTCCAATCCCCTTGTTGTGTTTGCCCTTGATCTAATGTCCACATATGAGGGAGAACATACGATTTTTGGTCTTTTGGCCAGGCTAACCTCACTCAGAATGATGTTCTCCAATTCCATCCATTTACCAGCGAATGATAACATTTCGTTCTTCTTCATGGCTGCATAAAATTCCATTGTGTATAGATACCACATTTTCTTAATCCATTCGTCAGTGTGGGGCATCTTGGCTGTTTCCATAACTTGGCTATTGTGAATAGTGCCGCAATAAACATGGATGTGCAGGTGCCTCTGGAGTAACAGTCTTTTGGGTATATCCCCAAGAGTGGTATTGCTGGATCAAATGGTAGATCGATGTCCAGCTTTTTAAGTAGCCTCCAAATTTTTTTCCAGAGTGGTTGTACTAGTCTACATTCCCACCAACAGTGTAAGAGGGTTCCTTTTTCCCCGCATCCTCGCCAACACCTGTTGTTGGTGGTGTTGCTGATGATGGCTATTCTAACAGGGGTGAGGTGGAATCTTAGTGTGGTTTTAATTTGCATTTCCTTTATTGCTAGAGATGGTGAGCATTTTTTCATGTGTTTTCTGGCCATTTGAATTTCTTCTTTTGAGAAAGTTCTGTTTAGTTCACTTGCCCATTTCTTTATTGGTTCATTAGTTTTGGGAGAATTTAGTTTTTTAAGTTCCCTGTATATTCTGGTTATCAGTCCTTTGTCTGATGTATAGTTGGCAAATATTTTCTCCCACTCTGTGGGTGTTCTCTTCAGTTTAGAGACCATTTCTTTTGATGAACAGAAGCTTTTTAGTTTTATGAGGTCCCATTTATCTATGCTATCTCTTAGTTGCTGTGCTGCTGGGGTTTCATTGAGAAAGTTCTTACCTATACCTACTAACTCCAGAGTATTTCCTACTCTTTCTTGTATCAACTTAAGAGTTTGGGGTCTGATATTAAGATCCTTGATCCATTTTGAGTTAATCTTGGTATAGGGTGATATACATGGATCTAGTTTCAGTTTTTTGCAGACTGCTAACCAGTTTTCCCAGCAGTTTTTGTTGAAGAGGCTGCTATTTCTCCATCGTATATTTTTAGCTCCTTTGTCAAAGATAAGTTGCTTATAGTTGTGTGGCTTCATATCTGGTCCTCTATTCTGTTCCACTGGTCTTCATGTCTGTTTTTGTGCCAGTACCATGCTGTTTTTATTGTTATTGCTTTGTAATATAGTTTGAAGTCAGGTATTGTGATACCTCCTGCATTGTTCTTTTGACTGAGTATTGCCTTGGCTATTCGTGGCCTCTTGTGTTTCCATATAAATTTAACAGTAGATTTTTCAATCTCTTTAATGAATGTCATTGGAATTTTGATGGGAATTGCATTAAACATGTAGATTACTTTTGGGAGTATCGACATTTTTACTATGTTGATTCTACCAATCCATGAGCATGGGAGATCTCTCCACTTTCTATAGTCTTCCTCAATCTCTTTCTTCAGAAGTGTATAGTTTTCCTTGTAGAGGTCTTTCACATCTTTTGTTAGGTTTACACCTAGGTATTTGATTTTTTTGAGGCTATTGTAAATGGAATTGTTTTCATACATTCTTTTTCCGTTTGCTCATTGTTAGTGTATAGAAATGCTAATGATTTTTCTATGTTGATTTTATATCCTGCTACCTTGCTATAGCTATTGATGATGTCTAGAAGCTTCTGAGTAGAGTTTTTTGGGTCTTTAAGGTATAGGATCATGTCGTCTGCAAATAGGGATATTTTGACAGTTTCTTTACCTATTTGTATTCCTTTTATTCCTTCTTCTTGCCTAATTGCTCTGGCTAGGAATTCCAGTACTATGTTGAATAGGAGTGGAGATAGTGGGCATCCTTGTCTGGTTCCTGATTTTAGAGGGAATGGTTTTAATTTTTCTCCGTTAAGTATAATGCTGGCTGTAGGTTTGTCATATATAGCTTTTATAATGTTGAGGAACTTTCCTTCTATTCCTAGTTTTCTTAGAGCTTTTATCATGAAATGATGTTGGATCTTATCAAAGGCTTTTTCTGCATCTATTGAGATGATCAAGTGGTTTTTGTCTTTGCTTCTGTTAATGTGGTTTATTACGTTTATTGATTTTCATATGTTGAACCACCCCTGCATCCCTGGGATGAAGCCTACTGGTCGTGGTGAATAATCTTTTTGATGTGTTGCTGAATTCGGTTTGCCATTATTTTGTTGAGGATTTTTGCATCAATGTTCATTAAGGAGATTGGCCTATAGTTCTCCTTTTTGGAGGTGTCTTTGCCTGGTTTTGGGATAAGTGTAATACTGGCTTCATAAAATGTGTTTGGCAGTTTTCCTTCCCTTTCTATTTCATGGAACAGTTTAAGGAGGGTTGGTATCAGTTCTTCTTTAAAGGTCTGATAGAATTCAGCAGAGAATCCATCAGGTCCTGGACTTTTCTTTTTGGGGAGACTCTTGATTGCTGCTTCAATTTCATTTTGTGTTATAGGTCTATTCAGGTGATTAATTTCCTCTTGGTTCAGTTTTGGATGATCATATGTATCTAGAAATCTGTCCATTTCTTTTAGATTTTCAAATTTATTTGAATATAGGTTCTCAAAGTAGTCTCTGATGATTTCCTGGACTTCCATGGTGTTTGTTGTTATCTCCCCTTTTGCATTCCTGATTCTACTAATTTGGGTTTTTTCTCTCCTCATTTTAGTCAGGTTTGCCAGGGGTCTATCGATCTTGTTTATTTTTTCAAAGAACCAACTTTTTGTTTCATTAATTCTTTGTATGGTTTTTTTGGTTTCTATTTCGTTGATTTCAGCTCTTATTTTTATTATTTCTCTCCTTCTATTTGTTTTGGGATTTGCTTGTTCTTGTTTTTCTAGGAATTTGAGATGTATCATTAGGTCATTGATTTGGGATCTTTCAATCTTTTTAATATATGCACTCATGGCTATAAACTTTCCTCTCAAGACTGCCTTAGCTGTGTCCCATAGGTTCTGGTAGGTTGTGTTTTCATTTTCATTGACTTCCAGGAACTTTTTAATTTCCTCTTTTATTGCATCGATGATCCATTCTTCATTAAGTAATGAGTTATTAAGTTTCCAGCTGTTTGCATGTTTTTTGTCTTTACTTTTGAAAAACAAACTTTTTTAAGAAGTTAAAATTGTTTAGCTGCTAGACTGCTTTGAAGATTCTCTGTCAATGTCACATTGGTCCAATTTGTCATCAGTGCCTGGCCAGACCTTGGTTTCATGGTTGTTGGAGAGACCTTGTTTGCCATAGTTCATTGTGTTCTGGACCATTCGGTAACCGTGTAGGGTCAGATAACTGTGGAGACCCTACAAATAACACTGTGTGAATGAGCTAAAATCATAAAACATTGAAAATGCAGAGAACTCTCTTTAGTCCATAAATGCAGGTCTACAATCAGATTTTTGTAAATTATAGTAACATATACGTAACATAAAACTTACAACATTAGCCATTTTAAGGGCACAGTTCAGTAATGTCATACATTCACATTGATGTGTGACATATAATAAACTTTTATTAGTAGAAAGTATGATTTAATATACAGTCTAAAAAGGAAAACTGCATATAGTTAACAAAACATATGACTAAACTCTAAGCCAGACAACCCAACAGCTTGCTGCCTATAAAATGCAACAAGAATCAGAAAATTAAAGGACCCAGAATGTAGGTCACATATGCAAGTCCCTGGGTTCAATCCCTAGCACTGTAAAAAGAAGAAGAAGAAAACAAAACAAAACAAAACTTTTCACGTCTTGATTCAGGGTTCAGAACACAACAGTTATCCCTACACATAGGTGAACACTTCCATTTTTTTAAATTATTTTATTATTCATATGTGCATACAAGGCTTGGGTCATTTCTCCCCCCTGCCCCCACCCCCAACACTTCCATTTTTTAAATGGAACGTCTTGTCTTTCCTGAAAATATTTAATTTCTACTGAGAATGTTACCTGCCACCTTAGACCAGGGTTTATGAAATGCAGTGCTAGCAGCCAGTGCCACTTAATATCCACCATCACGACACTCATAGCAAGATTGTCAGAATCAAACCCAAGGGAAAACAGTAAAGGTGATTCCATTCATTTTCACTACTGCTGCCGCATCCTTTCTGAAGCTGTCTCTGACTAAGCCTTTTTTCCCACCTGCACCTCTAGACCCCTACCATACTTAACCCCTTCTTGCCTACTTCTCAGTCACGTTCTGTAGATACTGCCCTGAGAACACAATTATTTCTTGATACATCTATCTCTTCCGCTAGACTGTGAGCTCCTTGAGGGCAGTCATCGTGGTTTTGTTTGTTACTGTTTTTGTCTCTGTATCTGATAAGTGTTGAGAATCAGTGTTTCCCTTGGCTATAAAGTGTCCCGTGACACCATGGGGCACCTTGACACTTCAATTGGGAACCAGTTATCAAATGCTTAGGGGACGAGAGTATGGGAGGAGGTAGCCTTTGAGCTGAAGCCTGAGCGGTGAGAAAAAGCAGTACCCATGTACTTAGAGTGCTTGGTTTGGAGGAAGCACTCCTCCAGACTCCTCCTTGCTCTGGAGGTCTGTGAGGTTCTAGAACAGGGAAAGGGAAGGAAAGAGGAGTGAGGTGAAGCAGGACCCCTTTGGTGGGATTAGCAAAGGAGGGGTGTAATGAGATGTCCATTTTGAAGTCATCGAGTGCTTCTCTCTAAAGAACTGCTGTGGCCCCAGGCAGACTTAGAAGCAGCAAAATACATAGGTGACCAGTGCCGTTGTTCCATGTGAGAGATGACAGTGGGCAGACTCAAGGCAGCAGAGACAGAGAGGGAAATGGCTAGATTTGGGGTCCATTCATTAGTAGTTTGTGTTTAGTAGTTTGGTGATTTGCTGAGTAAGGATATGGAAATTATAACAGAATGGCATCTGAAGAGCAGTTATTGAGTCCATCATTCACTGTTCTCTCTCTGATTCTATGCCATCCTTCCCAGGATACCGAGAGCGTTTCTAAAGTTCTTTGGCTGGATGAGATACAGCAAGCCATCGATGAGGCCAACACACACCAGGACAGAGCAAATCAATGTAAGCCCTGTTGTCGTCTGCTTGCCAAAACTGTCTGCTTAATTTGGATATGTGCCTGAAGTCATGTCATTTTTATTTTCTGGAAAGATTTGGATTCTTACCACGGTTCAGTTCTTAGATGCATATTTATGCAAAAATATTAGCTGGTACCCCTAGTTTCAGTGATTAGATGCTATTGCTAACAAAGTTGACAATGTCGTTGAACAAAATCCAGAAAGTAAAAAATGCCTGTAAGCTCTCAATTTTAGAATTGAATCAAATCTATTTTTCCCCTGAGTCATAGAAAACTGGCCCACTTCTGCTTAATATTCTCTTTGTCACGGCCTCTATTGTTAGTCTGGATTTTTCAGAAGAAACAGAGGGAGGGTGGAGGAAGAGAGGGAGCAGATAGTCACATAAATGTTCCTTTAACTAACTGTGGAGCCTGCAAGACTACAATACATAGGCCAGGCTGCCAAGGGCAGGCATCATTACCTAATCACCATGGACATGTGGGTGTGGTTACGGTATGACCTCAGACTCTGAGAAGTAACTGGAATAATCTGACTCACAGATTTATGGACTTGGCTAACTGATCGTGGCATTCCTAGAAATGAGATCTACTGGTGGTTACTGAATTCTAACTAGGTCTAGATCAACTGAAGTCTAACTCGTATGTAAAAACAGAATCAAGACCCCTCAATTCCTAGACCACAGACAATTTACAAACCCAGAGCCCCTTAGAATGAAGGGGAGGCCTTGGGCAAGGATGCCACTACACTGCCAAAAAAAAGTATGCTGTTAATATTTCTACCAGCCTCCCTCAAAGGGACCTGGAGCTTTTGCCGGGGCATCTATACTGGGGGCACAGGCAGATCTTCAGGGATAGTTGGACACTGGCTCTGAACCAACGCTAATTCCACCTGAAGTGTCCTCCAATCAGAGTGGGGACTTTGGAAGTCAGGTAATCAACAGTGGGCTCCAAACATACCCTGTAGTTACCCCCTGTTCCAGAGGGTATAACTGGAATAGACACACTCAGCACCTAGCAGAATCCCTGGATCAATGCAAATGATTACACTTTTTATCTTAAACCTCTGTTTTCAAGGAGTAATGGTAAGAAAATCTACTTGATAATCTGAAGTATCTTCTACATTGATGTACTAACAGTCTCCCTATATGAATTCTGACATAAAGTGAAATAAGACTCCTAAAACAGTTCATTAACCTGGCAGTTTGGGGAATAGTTAGGTTCTGTCCAGTTCTCTCAGGTCACAGATTGCCGCCAGGGTAGCTCAGTCTTTCTCCAGATGTGCATTCAGACTTTGGAAGCATCTGTAAGGAACATCTGGTTTTTATTGCCTTAGCTTAGTAAAATATCTGTATTTCTCTAACTTAAACTTTTATACCCTGAAGATCTTTGAAGTCTTGCCTTTCTAGCACTCTAGTGCTTGTGGGAGTGGGTACAGAAATACAGTTGAGATATGTTGGTCAGAGATTTAAATTTTCATATAAAAATGATACTAGTGAAATGGATACAGTTTCCATATACTACCAAAGGCAACCATAGTCTGAAGAGATACTTTTAAGAAGTGAAATTGTAATATAGGCACACAAATAGCCTAAAATGGTTATGACTTTTTCTTGGAGATCAAACCAATTTATATGTCATTTTGTTCCTCTTACTCATTGCTTTTCTTACATTTGATCCGCAAATCTTGGGTCTATTTTTCACATTGAGACTCCTGGTTCTGTTGACCATAAAAGTAAAAAGTTTACTCAAATATGTACGATTGCGTATTCTGTGCCTCACATCTAAATCCTGTCTCCTTCCTGTACCCTGACCCTTGCAAGAGTTGCTGTACTTTCTTCTACAATGTATAACAACAAAATAAGATTCTTTATTATAGTTAAAGCCATTTTATATTCAGACATTGAAATGAGGATTTTCTGGGTTTTCAACAAGAATGTAATCATACTTTTAAAAGTATTTTTCATCTTTTGCATGAATACTTGAAACAGACTCTGGTCATGTGTAAGCATCCTAAATAATTTGATATAAGAGTGTGTTGGTCCATGTATTTCACCAGAGGCAAGACTGAAAAGGGCAGAATAACTAAGTCTCCTTCATTTTGGCCAGTGTTCCTTTTTGCTGGAATATTCTGCTTGCTTCAAGTAAGTTTGCCTCAACCTTTGACTCCTTAGAGCTGTGTTTCTCAACCCTTTTTTCATTATTGTACCCTAAGGAGTCTTAAAGTATTTTTCCTTAATCTCTCTTCATCATGAAACTTTAATGGCACAAATAAGTTGTATATATGTGTTTTTATGTACCATACATAGATGCCATATGTAGATTACTTACCATACGTAGATTTTTTCACCCTCTACCCCAAGAACCTGTGTCAGCCCTACTGGGACTTGAGAATGCAAACCTTAGACAGCTAGCTGGTGTGTGGCACAATTTGTAAAGCAAACTTTTTTTTTTAACTCATAGGAGAGTCAAAGGAGGCCTCTTCATTTGTTCCACAGCCAAAATGCATATGACTTCCTGGACGTCATTTATCTAACATCCTCTACTATCTGCGACTTAGCCACACACACTGATAATCCACAAAACAACCTAAACCAGTGCTGAACAACCTGTGTGTTAGGGAGATGGTCTACTTTCCTCACTGTTGATACCTGGGACAGACTCCTTGGTCTGTTTATTCTTTTCATGGGTTTAACTCTAATATCTATGCCTATTTCTCTTGTGAGCACAGCAGAAGCCACAGATTCCAAGATGATGCAGAGTTTGGGCTGCCACAGGCAGGCACATGGATGTCATGATCCCTGACATTGAGGAAGAGGGCACACTAACAAGCAGACACATTTGAGGCCATTTAATGCCAGCTCAAATAGATCTAAACACTCCAAGTCCTTGAAAGTACCACTCCACTGTCTGTTGCCCAGTCCAATTTTAATGGCATAAAAGACTCTTCTGGCATCCCTCAGCAAACATTGAGCACCTATGATGTACCACAGAATGTGAGTAAAATGAGGAACAAGATAGTGCCAGTTGTGTGCTTTCTCCAAGGCACGTTCAGATTTTCATGGAAAGTGTGTCTAGTAAGATAAGAGTTTGCACCAGAAATTGACCTGTGGACCAGCTCCTTGCACATTAGTTCTCAGTGATAAAGAACATTACTGTATGCAAGCAGTGTGTGCCTTTGTAATGTCATCTTTCAAGGAAAATTACATTTTGTTTTATTAGTTCAATGAAACTATCACATGTAATTCATGTGAGAATTCTTCTTTACCACTTACTTGTTCCTTCTGCTTTTCTCAGACCACAGACCTTTCAAATGTCAGATCTCCATGCTACAGAACTCTCCTGGTAAAGAGGAAGCAATGGTTTGCCTGATCACTATTAACCTCAATAGCCACAAGGTCATACTGCTGTCTATCGCTGTTGCCTAGCAGTCAGTGGAGTTTGCTAGACAAGTTCGTTAGTATTTGTGTGTCCTCTGGATGTGCATGACTTTAACTTCAAGCTGGCAAAAGTGGACTGGCTGGTTTTCATGCTTCTTCAGCCATATCTGTGAACATCACTACGATAGCACTATGCACACATGAACATAATTCAATGACAACAGTATGTCATTTAGCACTTGTTAGAGTTTGACACATGTGGAAGGAGGGAGGGAGAAAGGGAGGAAGAGAAGGGAAGGGAAGGAAAAGGAAAAATATCCATCTCCCCTTCTTTTCACCAGGATCTTTTTTTAATATCTGAAAAGTATTTAACCTGGCTTCTTCTCCCTTTTTTTGTTTGGTTGGGTTGGTGTTTTTTTTTTTTTTTTTTACATTCTATATTTCTGACTTGCTGCATTGATAGGTTGTGAAAACAGTACTTCCATTGGTTGGACCAGAATATTCTTACTGAGAACTAAAGTGGATAATAAAGAATTTATTAAATTAACTTTCTTTAGGCAATCGAGACTTTAGTATGACTTTGTTGGTAAGGAGAGGTGGAAATTTGAAATCTTGTTGCATCTAAAATAATCCAGAATGAATCTTCTGGACTCCATTGCACATATCCACATATTTAGGTTTAAGTTGCCCCTGACAACATTGCCAAATACACCAGCATGACACAAGAGAATATTAGGATTTCCATAGGTTAAATAGCATCTTGCTCACATTAAAATAAATGGCTTCATAAAATTGGTTCTAAAATTTCAATTGATGACCTAAACTAGGGCTGCATATCTACCCTGATGTGCATTCACCAATTTCAGTTTACTATGGTGAGCAAAACCTAGTGCCTGATACCACACAAGACTAACCAGGAAGAATTACGATTTTTAATATGCCGTGCTGCTATAGAATCTTGTTCTTCCTACAATCTAAACTGGTAGGTGAGTTGGTGATTGACTCTGGTTTTTTTGGCACATACTCTCAAAAGGTAAAAAGGGTTAATACCAATTCATTTGTAAAAGGTTGAATTATATATTTGTGTGCCTTCAGAGTAAGTAGAAGATAACCATTAACAAAAACATTTTTTTTTTCATTATCCAGGGGTTACTCTGGTGATTGACGTCAATCAGTGTTTGGATAGAAATCAACCAGGTGACATTTTGTCTGTGTTGAAGCTTCTGCTAGTAATACGCAAGACATAATTCCTGAATGTGCCGACAGGTACTATGATGCCTTGTGAAAGCCAAGCGGTCCAAATCTGAAAATGGTAAGCTTTCTTCATTACATCGTGCAAACTAAATATCATTTAAAATATGATGGTTTCTGTGGTATTGTATTTTCTTAATTTTAAGACAAGTAGTACTTCCAAATCAATATTCTGAAATTTTTCATCATCTGTGGCAAAGGAAATTTTTTAGATTTTATTTATTTATTTGGAAAACTAAGTCAGTGACTAGGCCTAGATGGTAACATCATATAATTGAGGTACTATAAGTCAATTTTTACACTAATAATTTCTGTCATTTAGTCCTTTGTGAGACTCATCGTCCATGGTTGCACAGTATTAAGTAGAGATACTAAGTAGAAATGGATTAACAAATGTGACATTTCTATATAGTGACAAAAAGGAGTGAAGAACTGACACATGCTACAACATGGATGAATCTTAAAAACAGCAAGCTAAGTTAAAGAAGCCAAACACAAAAGGTCACCATCAGATGTCTGACTGCCCATTTGAAAAGAGAGCCATCTTCCTTCCTAACTACTGACAAATAGATCATTTGAGGGACATTTAAAACCAAAAAAAAAAAAAAAAGCCAACACATATTCAGATCACCTTTGCTTAGTTATTTGAATGCATTTAAATATTCTGTGAAGAAAATCACTTAAACTTTGATTTACCTAGACAGGCAATCAGTGTAACACTTACTTGGCAGCTATGGACTTAGTTTAGTCTAAATCAGAACCTTTTAATGTCTTTGGTTGTCCTTAGTTCTGTGGTCTGGGACAGAAATCATGACTATTCAACAAAAATAAAGATTCCTCAATATGAAATATAGCCCATAGATTCAGGAGGAGGAGACACTCTTCTTGATCAATATAAGCTGTGTCTATCTGCCATAGATTTTTCCAGCATGCCCCTCAAACCAAATTAAGTCCTCGCAACAATTTTTTTCTCATTTTATGTGGTTGTGTGGAGAGAGCTATATGAGTGAGAGAGATCAGGAATGTTCTTTTTTTCCTACTTTAGTTGACCTCGGTGGTGTACTAATTTGGGTAGTGTTGTGTCCAAAGGTAACTCACTTTACTTTGGTTTAATGCAGATCATTCCCTGTTAAACACGGGTCACACTCCTTTATGTCACTATTTATGGGAGAAATTGCTGGGAGACTCATGAGCAAAGAGAATCCTGTTCATTGGTCTCCTCTCTACTTGTATCACTCACATCTGTATGGGACTTACTTTCCTTATTTGCATTTCCTTCTCCTTGGCCATTTTGACTCCTATCATCCTCATGGAAGATTTGGGGTACAGAGCTAGTATTAGGCATTTATCTCTCCTCCTTTCCTTTGGTTCAGCAGGGAGCTGCCCTTGAATGCATGGAATTCATTCCATTTTACCAAGTCATTTCTAATTATTTTAACTTCAACCACCTGAGTGGTGAAAAACATATTTGTTGGATTATTTTACATATTGAAGAAACTATACTATTATAAAGGTTTCATGTTCCTTTGTAGAATTTAACAAACTTCTTTTCTTTAGTTTTTAATGAAGGTCCATGGATCAAATTCAACTTGCAGGAGAACTATGACTACTATTACAACATCGATTCTAAAGAGAGTTCCTGGGTCCTACCTGAATCATTCTTGCCTAAAGAATCGTGGCTCACAGGAAAAGAAATTGAGGTAGGCAGTTGGTATTTGATGGAAAACTATACTATACAAAGATAAGTGTGGGGCTGGGGGTGTGGTTCAAGTGATAGAGCACCTGCCTAGCAAGTGGGAGGCCTAGAGTTCAAACCCAGTACCACAAAGAAGATAAGGAAGATTGCTTTTCTATTGTATTGTGGAAGCGATGGAAAGAACAAATTGCTTTATTTAAAGACCGGACAGGGGATAAAGTTTGCATGAACTGCAGCTGGATATGGCTCCATTGTTACTAACTTTTATAATTTTTTCCCATATTGGCATAACAAAACCAAACAGCAAGAAAGCTTTGGCAATTCATTGGTGAAGGTAGATTATCCTGAGAAATTAATCTTCACACTTTCCTTGGCAAAATTAAGTTCAATTTCAGTGATACTTTCTTAGTCATCAATGTTCAAAATGCCTTATTTTTTCTTCCCCCCTTAAGCCTACAATTTGAGCCCTTTCCAACCAAAATGCCATTTTTTCCCACAAAGTTCTGGAAAGGGTTTCTCTGCTGCACACTATCCTAGCCATCCCCAGGATGGCTTTAGGAGCTGACAACAGGGTTGGGCAGAGAACAGGATGAGTAAGCTTTAAATGTTTGCTTCTTCTGAAATAGGTGTCTTAGCATGATTTCATTGTTTAATGTAATTTCGAAGACTTTGCTTGTGCCAACATCTAAACATAAGTGAAAACAACACAGCTGAGAAATTTTATACATGGCTTCTGATTAACTAAGGCAGAACTTAGTCATGTGTCCATACATTGCGCTCATCAAAAGTGAAACATCATACAGTGAAAGAGTTTTTATTTAGCCTCTAAAGATCCCCTTTAATGAATCTTGACCATATTTGAAAGTTTCAGTTTATCAGATTTAACTTATCCCTTTTTTAGCCTATCTGAACTTCTTGTTAGAAGCAAGACATACTGAATTAATTAACACACATGGCATAGGTTATTGGCTATGAGGATGTTTAAAATGTTAAGTACAGGAGAAAGAAGCCTATTTAGAAAGTCTGTGTTGGATCACTTGTTCAAATGGTTTTCTCACTGGTCTGTGTCTCAGGGCACCTGTTGATTTCTCTCCATCTGCCTGGTCCATCTTAATCCAAATTTCTTCTCAAATATCGGCAGTTTTTATGTATGTACAGGAAGTCAGGGCTGCATATTTACAAACCAACAACTTAAAGGGGAAGTAATAGAAAAAACTAGGGCCAAAGTCTTCTTTTCAGTCTCAATTCTAGATCATTTAATTTCATTCATTTTATGTTCTCCCTCCCTATTTAAGGTAATAAGAGAACAGTGACAAGGGATACCTCTCTGTGACCATGGCTTTATTAGATCTGAATGGTTACTTTCTTAGAACACAGAATTAAGGAACCAGATGCTTCTTAGAAGTTTCCTGAAGCAAAAGCTATAAGCAGATGGTAAGGCAGATATTACCAGAATGGCTTTCTTTGTGGGGTTTTTCTTTGTTTTGTGGAAAGCTGGTGAAAAGCAATGAAGAAACAGGAGTGAGTAAAGTCCGATGGATGTGAAATTAGAGTCTGTCCTTTGTAATAAGATGTCTGAAACAAGCTATGGCCAAAAGTAACCTTTCTTAACTGGTGTGCCCACAAATACCCAAAGAATGGGTAGCACTACAAATAAGATCTTCTGAAAGCACAGAGCCAAGTACACTTTATTTGATAGAGTTTCACTCTCCAGTGCACCTTGATAAAGTTTAATCCTAAATCGTCCTCCAAGAAGAGACAGAGCAAATATTACCATCTTTCATCTTTTCTGGTGGGGCAGCTAAGGCACAGAGTGGACAAAGCAAAACTTGTGTTACTTCTACAACTCATATAGAATTCATCAGTAATCAGAGGTTTATTCCCAGTGATTTCTACTCTACTGTCTTCCACTGGTGCCATTGTTTTTGACATGGCCACCAGTATCCCTGAGGGTTTATCTGTGCTCTGGAATAACACAAAACACAGCTCAAGAAATAGATTTATCCTAACACAGATAAATAGGCCTATAAAAAGTAATACTTCTCAGAGGAAAATACTCTTGAAGGAATGTGCACTAAGATTCTCAGAGAGTAAGACCAAAAGTTGGACCCAAAAGCTATGAGAATTACTGATGGATCCAGGCATGGTAATATGTTATAAGAGAAAATACTAATAATAATTTTATTCCATCTTGGAGAAGAAAAAGTGGACTATACAAAGATAGCTCTTATAGAATCATTAAAAGTCAACTGCATCAGAAGCCGGGCATCAGTGGCTCACATCTGTGATCTTAGCTTCTCAGGAGGTAGAGATCAGGAGGATCACCATTCAAAGCCAGCCTGGGCAAATAGTTTGTAAGACCCTATCTCAAAAAAACCCATCACAAGAAAGGGCTGGTGGAGTGGCTCAAGGTGTAGACCCTGAGTTCAAACCCCAGTACTGACAAAAAAAAGTCAACTGCATCAGAGATACTGCCATGTAGCAGAAAAATTGTGGCCTGAGTCTGACAATGCTTAATAGCAAAACCTCTAAATAACAAGAAGAGCGTGAAGACCATAATTTACTAATTTCAGAGTTTCAAGATTCTTACACTTTTTAGGCAAAGGATATTGGAGCAGTGGATTACTTAGGGCTAATTTTTTGAAAAAGTGAGATTATGGACAGTGCTAAAAAAATCATATGCATGGTTGGAAAGATGTACCAAACCATGAAGAAGAAGCATTAAAGAGTTAAGATTTGATATAAAAAATTGCTCAGATGGCATACAAAGATGCCCCAGATAGAACTTTTTGTTATATCGAGCATCAATCCATTAGGATTATTAAATGGAGGGTCTCATGCTATAAAAAATCATATTTCTTCTAAACAACCTGAAATTAATCTTTCTCAGTGAATACATATAAATTTCTTCTCCTACAGCAATTTATGCATCTTTAAGTGATTTCACTTTTAACTGCTTAATTTAATTAATCAGCCATTGGGTCCAGTTGCCCTGGATGAGAGTCTCCAGCTGCAGACGTGGGTTTAGTGTCTCTACTTGTGTCTCACAACAAACCTAAAAGTAAACCTAGTTCAGCACTCACACAGAAACTTGTCATAATCCTCCTTTTTTCTCTTCCCCCCGATTCCCGTGTGTGCCCTTGATAGCACTGTGTTCCTCTGCTACTGCCTTTCTTTCTGCCCCAAATATTTCATTCACCCCAAGCATCATCTTAATCTTCCACAGCTCATGGCAGAGGGTTCCCTGCTCTGGTCTGAGGAAGGAAAGGGAAGGAGGAACCTGAGGACATCATGGGTCCTGCAGCCCAATGGAGGCAGGGAGGCATTTCTTCCAGTAGTCATCCTTGTCCCTTTTCCATTCTGTGGAGCCTCCTAGTTCTTGCTGGCATCATCTGTACATCTCTGTCTCCAAATCCTGACATCATTCAACTGTCTTCTCACGTCCCCTCAGCACCATGCTGAGAGGACTCCAAAATCATGTCTCTAGAAAGCAACTAAGCCAATTCATCCCTTGGCTCTGGTGAAATCTGTTTCTAAACCAAGCCGAAAAGAGTTAGCCATGTCATTTTTCTAAAAGTTAGATGTCCAGAAGCTATTCTGTGTGCTTCTCTCACCTGATGTGTGAAGTGTAACCATAAGAAATATCTCTTGCCAGGACATCATTGAGGAGTCACAGCCCATTACATCTGTCAGAATATGTGGTCTGCTTCAGAGGACTTGCTTCTTCGCTTCCAAGCCACAAGCTCAGGACCCATCCTTAGGGAAGAGTTTGAAGCTAGGAAGTCATTTTTTGGGTGAACAAGTAGGAAATGTGGTCAAAATACAGGTATGTGAACCATCTGCCACTGATTACAGAAAACTGTCCTGTTCCGCCAAAAAAAACTTTGATTTGAAAGTAGGACAGTCAACTACCAGCATTCCAGTGAACAGTTTCTGACTGCAGACTTTTTCCCTTACCAGACCCTTAACCTACTTTAGTGAGCTTTAAGATGGGGAAGTATCTTGACAAGGAGTGCTTTCTCCTCTGGCCTTCTGGAGAGTATGGCAGCGCACGTGGACTTGCTCAGCTCCACTGCCTAACTGGAGCCAAAGGGACAGCTCAGATCAGGGTTGAAATCACATTTCTCTAAAAAAGTTGGTTAGTGGATATTGCATGGCACCTAGCTTCTTCTAGCCTGAAATGAACTGAAACAGATTTAGCATCTCCAAGAGTCTTTCACCTTGGAGTCTTTCACCGTAAATCTGTCACCGTTTTATTTTGTTTTTACTTTGCTGTTGATGTGACTTTTGGCAGTACTGGGATTTGAACTCAGGACTCATGCTTGCTAGGCAGGCTCTCTACCACTTGAGCCATGCCCCTAACCCTTTTTTTTCACTTTAGTTATTTTTTGGATACCATCTTGTACTTTTGCCCAGACCAACTTCAGACCATGATCCTCGTACCTATACTTCCTGCATAGCTGAGATTACAGACATTCACCACCATACAACTTTATTATAAAATGAAGTTTTTTAAAGACTTTTCTGCTATAAACCTGACACTCAAAGGATTTTTCTTTTATTATATTATGGAGGTAGGGTGGGACAGAGGTTTGGACTCATGGCATTGCACTTGCAGGACAGGTGCTCTACCGCTTAAGCCACACCTCCAGTCCACTTTTGCTCTGATTATTTTGGAGATGGAGTCTTGAGAACTATTTTCCTGAGTTGACCTTGAACCGAGATCCTCCCAGATTAGCCTCCCAAGTATCTAGGATTAGAGACATGGGCCACCTGTGCCTGCCTCCAGCTTGTTTATTGAGATGGCTAACTTTTTGTCCAGCCTGGCCTCAAGCCATGGTTCTCCAGATTTCCACCTCCCAAGTAGCTGGGACTACAGGAATAAGACACATCCTCAGCCAGTCACTCTTCATTTAGGCTGCAGGACAAATCCTCATCCCCAGTTTTTTTGTTTGAAAAACTGCATGACTCTTAAACTTTGCAGGTTGGGAGAAGAACTACTTACCAAATTTAGATAATTCTCTTGTGTTTCCCTGAACACCTGCTACCAGTCACCACACTGGCTTCTGAAAGGCTGTTTGTCCTTTGCTCATGATGTTACTGAGTGTCGGAGTTTGGTAGAGTTTTGCTTTGGTCAGTGACTGTGAGATTCGATTCCAGATCAAAAGCGTTTACTTGAAAAACTCCTTTGTGGTCCTTGGTGAGCTTGGCTGCTTTCCCTCCTTGCTGTAGTTGTTCAGGGCAGAAAATGAGCTTTATAAACTTTGTCATTTGTGTCACATGTGACAGGTGTTCGAGTGCTTGATGTGCTGAAGATGTTTGCAAGGCAGAAATGAAGTTTTTAAAGACATTTCTGCTATAAACCTGACACTCAAAAGATTTTTCTTTTTATTGTTGTTATTATTATTGCTGTACTGGGGGTACATTGTGACATTTACAAACTTCTTACAATATATCATAGTTGAATTCACCCCCATCATTCCTCTCAAAATATTTTTCTAGTCTAACCCAGTGAATTTCTAGTTTATTCCTCTTAAACAAATGGTAGGCAAGACACACAGGAATATGAACAAAAGTCTACCAACAGAATCATCTATATCCATCGATGCTACAGGCTCTAGTCCTTGCACAAAATTCAAAGTGTCAGCCAATGTGATACAAATGGACCAACCCCACTCTCCAACGTTGGAGCACAGAGCAATGGTGCTGTGGAAAACCTAGTGAAAGTCCACCATTGCAGAATCCCTCTGAAGTCATGCAGGGCTGCAAAAGGACAGAAACAGCCCCATGGGCCTTTTCCTCCACCTCAGCAAGGCAGCAGGATTGAAGAAGAAGCCATCAAAACTGTGAACTCATCCCACCATGCCTTCTTTTCACTCATCTGACAGTTTTCTAATAAGGAAGGCATGATGTCGACAGGTAAGCCAACATCACAGATGTGGACCAGAAATGAATACGAATCCCACACCTTCCGACCCACAAAACCAACAGACTGGAGCCAACTGGCTTCACGTGAATCTCATTTCTCATTAAAAGGGGCCACTTCACCCTGAATTAGGGAAATGTTGATATCAGAGCAGCCCCTACCCAAAGCGGCTCAAGCTTTCTGAACTAGCTGAATTGGCCCCAGAAATGTCAAAATTTGGAGAGAAATACAGAGGCAAATTCCTAGACCCAGGCCAGCCATACCTAGGCTCCACCACAACTGCCTGCCTGTAGTCCCGGCTGAGGAACTGTATAGCGTACAGGGAATATGCATAATCACATCTAGCCCTCTAGCACTAATGGAATAAATCAGAAGGTGCCCAGGCCAACAAGAGGAAGTCAAGGAGAGCCTATGGAGCCTTGGTTTTCATCATTTTTGTTTTCGGTTGGTTTTGTCTCTTTATAGTGCTGCAAATTGAACTCAAGGCCTTGTACATGCTAGCAAGCACTGTACCGCTGAGCTACTCTCACCAGCCAGCCA